ATCCCTTCCCTACTGGGGAAAGGAGAGATATTTGCCAATGAACGGCAGGTCATTTGTCGCACGGTACCTCCGGGATCGACATCATGAAGGGAGTAGCGCAAGAGACACTTTTCTACCGATCAATTAGCTGTGTAGATAAAAAAAAGCAAAAGGAGAAAAAACAGAGTTTGATAATCTATCACAATAGAATTTGCTTTGAAATCCTTTATTGAATAAAATTAATAATATTATATAAAAAACGATCTTGGGAAGTTGTTGAATATATAATTTGCACTCTCTAACCGCTGAAGTGATTTTCGGCCGAATTCCCATTTGTGGTTTTGCGTCTTTATGTTTTCCAACAAATTGAAGGACCTACAGTTTATACTAAGTCGCCTACGAACGGCTGATGGTTTTTTTATGAGGAGCCTTTATTTCATGTCAGAAATACACTCGGTGGGGTTGACATTCTCTGCCGAGGGGCGACAGGAATTATAAACTTATAATTGAGTTTTTATTGAAATTCTTGGATGTTTGGTCATACCAGGATTTGAGCCCGGGCCAATGGCAGTACGCAATACTAAGCACTCGGCTACTCGACTCTTACCTTCAAATAATAAGTATAAGTATAAAAAGTATACTACATATATACACGTGTACATATGTATGTTTATATGGACATGTACAGATATGTTTATATATACATATGTATGCACTCGTATATTCAATTCACCATTATCTCCCACTCATTCATTGAATTCACACGATTGTCTGAGATCGCAGCTTGCATGATAAAGGAGGAAACATGCTCATTGTGGCTTTTTCACTGCTGCCACAGCAACTGGCGCACATTTTGGCAATCGGACGGTATAAATATCTAAAAGAAGACCAAAACGTAACAACTTAAAACAAACTTTATGGCCAACATTGATCATTAGTTACCCAACACAGAATCCTCTTTGACGACCAGTGAACTTCCGTAGGCAATCAACTTGTTGCTGCTGGTGAGAAAGCGACATGTGCAGCAGTTTATTGGATGTGTGATCGGTAGGAGAAGATTTTGGTACAATAAAAAGGACATGAATATAGTGAACGTTCAGTGAATATGAATATATAATATAAGCACATACGCGTATGTATGTTTATATATACATATTTTATATTGAGTTAGTTACTTTCGCATGAATACATATGTATGTATAATTATGGTTAAAACAGCCCGGCGAACAGTTTGTATGTCTCATAAAACTCACTTACTTACTTGGCGTAGACACCGCTTACGCGCTTAGCGCAACACACCAAAATAAGCAAGGTCCTTATCCACCTGAGGTTTACAACGGTAAGTAGTTCGCCTACTTCTACGTTGGTTACTGTTGTAGTTATTAATGTCTCATAAAACGGTTTCGCCAAAGGTTTGTTTTAGAAAAGGACTTATGGCACATTTAGTGAGATTTTCAAGGTGCATGCATCAGCTTCTTTGCGAAATATGGTCGGATGAAATATACCAGACGATTGGAACCTTAGTGTGATATGTAAAAACCATAAAAGGGGACAAGGCTTGTCAATATTGCATCCAGTCTTTATTGGACCAGATATTTATCATATGCTGAATGCTGAAAAAAGGCTCGTGAGGAAAGGATCCACACACACCATCTCTACGTCGAATTTAAAGCAGTTTTTGACAGTACGAAAAGGAGTTGCTCTTACGCCACTATAACTAAAATTGGTTTCTCCGCAAAACTTATACGGCTTTGTAAACTGACGTTAAGCAACATCAAAAGCTCGGTCAGAACTTCTCCGAGTCGTTCAATACTAACCGAGAAAATAATACGAGCAGTAGAGCTGAAAAGAGAAGCTAAAATCGACGACACTTGGCGTTAGCAACCGCGAATTTCGAAGCCGTACGAGATATAGTACGATGACGTTGACATAGTGTAGCGAATCAAGAGACAGCGGCTAAATCAAGTGGTCCGTATGGATAAAAATACTCACGCTTTGAGAATTTTCGAGGTAGTATACGCCGTTAGAAGGGGGGAGATCTCCACTCCGTTGGAAAAAAACTGACTGTGTTTGGTATTTCCAATTGGCCAAACAGCGAAAAGAACTAGAACCTTTATATCGGCTCCAACAAAACTCTTTTATAAGAAAAAGCTTGTTGCTAAAAATTTGCGAAGCCTTCAAATTCATTTCAAGCGTATATGTGGATATACATACGATTCGCATATGTACATATGTATGTATATACTCGTACATACATAGGTACATAAGTATATTGTTAAAATCTGCTTAGAAATCGGGCGTAACGGTACAGCTAAACAACTCCTTCAAATAATGCGATTTTCGAAGGCATCTCTAGACGATTCGTTTTACTATTGGGCACATACACGTATGTACATACCTATACAAATGTAAGTATGTATATATATTATATTTACCAGAGCAGAGTGGCCGAAATCATGCATATGCCTGTTTTGTTTTGAACACCAAAGTCCGCAAAGCCGAAAATCGGCAGATGTGTTTCAGATCGTCTACGCTGTAAATGGCTGTGAAGCAAAGCTGAAAGTAATTTGAGAGATCGAAGGAAGGAAGCATTAAATGAACGATAAAACGAAAAGGATTGAGATGCGTCAACGCATCAAACAACTGCCTTTTTAATTTTAAGTTTTCTCTTTCCCAGTCAGAGAATAAATTTGTGCGACAGGTGTTTAACTTATTATCCCAAGGTGCACATACATATACTCGTAACATACATACATACATATAATATATTTATAACTACTTAAGGTGCACAATATCAACAAATGCTGCTACTTGAAAATCATTGGCAATGTAGCGACATGGTCGAAATGATAAAAATAAATAAAAACAAATTTGTCACATTTTGCTCCCATAATAAATTTAAAAAATAAATAACTAGGGTTGATCGAACTTTGGAGATTTTATGGTATTTCAAAAGAGCTTTTTTGAATATTTCTCGGCTTCTTTAGCTCATTTTACTATACTTTATACAAGTATGTATGTATAACATGCTTCTTTACTTGTAGCATAGATGTTTTACTGTGTAAGCGAGAACTTAGTGCAGTGAGTAGGTTTCCCGTCTAAGACCTTCTGATATGCTTGTAACTTATTTATCTGCGTATGCCTTGCCCCGGTATCCAAATCAGAGCAGCGACCGGCTTACCAATTGCGAGCTAATGATTTGAAGATTTTGTTCCGGCTCTGTCATAGGCGGAACGAAGGACTGCACTCAGAATGTGTCTTCCAATAACTTTGGAATATTTATTGTCGAAGTTTTTACGTTATCGACTTCCATATCAAGCTCGAATCGCTACTCCTTCGGCCAGCTGGTGGAAAAGGTAGCCGAGGATTTCGCTGGTTGTAGTTGAAAATGTCGTAAAACGAAGAAATGGAAGAAGTCTAATAGTTAGTAGTTTACTTTCGAACATTCATAAGTTAACAATAATCTGGTCAGATGCCAATATCGAACAGTCATCGTCGTATGAGATCTAAGAAACGCCCCTGGCGGAAGGGGAAATTTCGAAATGCAAAAGTTAGGCAGAAGCTTAACTTTGGGGAGTTTAGAAACTCTACCGATAACTGTTGAACCATTATGTATCTCATAGACCATTTCATTAATCCCGGCGGTAATAAGAAATTCTCAGTGTCCGAAAGTAGCACTGAATGGTTGACAGCGGCAAAAGCTTTTGCAAATCTAGTGCTACCAGGAGAGAACCGGTTTTGGGTTGGGGCCATGAACGGTCTGGGAGCTTATGGAGGTAAGTGCGGTTGTGATACTGTGCCCTTTGCGGCTCAAATGGTATGTTAAAGGCGGTAACAGGAAGGCTTTAATCGTCTTTTGCCACCCCCAAATAATTAATATAGCGCCACATTGATGTTTGCGCAATCGGCGGGTCACTTGTCACTTTATTTTGTCAATTGAGGGGTGTAGTATAAGGTCCGAAGAGGTAAGGTCACCGAATGAAGTTTACGACCAGTCGGGTAGACAACGATTTGGCAGCTTCCCAAAGCTTGATGTAGGTTGACACTTCGCCGAATCGCCTTATTGAGTTCCCTGATAAGGCAGTCTCCGTGATAGGGATGATAATATTTTATTCACAAGCTTTTCCAGTTAGCACTGTGCTTTAAAACTACAGAAACAATTTTTTGGCGCATCTATTCTCCAATCAACTAACATTTTTTAAGCCGCCGCCGAACGGCTGAAGGATTTTTAGGAGGAGAATAGGGACCATAAACACAGTCAGAAGGCTTAAAATTTTCTGTCGAGGGACTATGGCAATTAGAAAATTTGCATATGTTAGTCTGGGCGGGTGGCGCGGAGGCTCAGGTTCAAACCCCCGTGCCACCAACACCCAAAAGTTATTGAAAATTAATTTAAACAAAAATTAAGTTAAATATTCTAATTGCGGTCGCTCCTCGGCAGGGAATGTCCACCCATCCGAGTGTATTTCAACATGAAATAAAGGCCCCTCACCACAAAAAAAAACATCAGTCGTTCTGAGGTGGCAAAACCACAAATTGGAGGAGGAGCTCGGCGGGAAATCGCTTCACCGATTACAAAGCGTCAATAATTATTATTAGTCTGGGCGAGGAACCATTCAATTAATAAATTAAAAATGATAAGTTGCATTATATATTTAGAAAAAAAAAAACAAAAAATAAACTTGTTAAATGAATGGGTTCAAATTTAACCGCCAAAATAAACAGCTGTTTATTTGCTGGTTAATTTTTACTGCATGCTGTTATGTGAAAACTCAGTAAATTTCTTGCTTGTAAGACATCTATCTATCTATTCTATTCTCTCAATTTCGTTACTGGCTATTTTTTACTGACATTTCTCAACGAACACAGCGAACACGAACACAATTGCTTAATCCACTAGCCTTCAACAGAGTTAAGCACCAGTGTGAACATGTCTTAAACCTAACAGCTGATATTTATTTGTAAGTTATTTTTTACACCTGGTTACTCTCTCTCGCTACGAGGTAATAGCTTATAAAATGTAAACAAAATAATAATAAATTTATAAACATACATAGATACATTACCTCAAGCTTAATGGTTGAAGATAATCTAATCTAATTGATGGTAGAAGCCTTAACACAATAGATTAAAAAAGCATCTAATACATCAGTCTATTAGTATTTTAAGAAAAACTTTCGAATGGATCTTAAGCGAATCAACATAAGCAATAAGCTGGTGCCAGATAACTATCTGAAACTAGCGCAAAATGCTCAGAAGTCTAGAGAAACCGAGGAGCGAGAGCTTCTGGAAAAAGTAAGTATTTACTTATAGGGCTTGTCAATATGTCAATGCATATGTAAACAAATTTAATAGCGCAAGTTACCCATTAACGGCTGGACAGATGACCACATCGAAGAACTGCTGCAACAGCTTTCATTGTTGGATAGCAATAACTTTCCAAAGAAAGCAGGAGTTGGTGAACGAGAAGCGCGTATAGCATGTTGTAGGTATATATAATTTATGTTTTTCAGCACAAAAGATTTTATTAAGACTTTTCTCCAGCACTTGTTGCACGTCGTCATTACAATTTTGGTCATGGGATTGGCCGGTCAGGAGATTTGATGGAGGCGCAACCCAAAGCGGCCGGTTCTACGCTTATAGCCAATCTCACAAATTGTCTCTTACTTGATCTCATACACGAAATGGGCATACGCAGCTGTCGCGCTTGTTTCCTAGCTCCGCTTGCAACCGGTATGTCACTTATGTTGTGCCTACTGACATTACGTCAACAAAAGCCATTAGCTCAGTATGTGGTATGGTCACGCATTGATCAGAAATCGTGCTTTAAGAGCATTATTACAGCTGGCCTCAAACCGCTCATTATCCAGCCAAAACTTGATGATTATGGTTCACTATCGACGGACTTATTTGCGTTTTCTAAAATGGTCCAAGATGTGGGCGTTCAAAATATACTTTGTTTTTGTACAACAACCAGTTGTTTTGCACCACGTAATTGTGATGATATCATTGAAGTGGCTAAATTAGCGGCTGAAGTTGCAATTCCACATTTAGTAAATAATGCCTACGGGCTACAAAGTACTTACCTTACACATCAACTGGAACAAGCGCAACGACTTGGTCGTATCGATTTGTTTGTACAGAGCACAGATAAAAATTTAATGGTGCCAGTTGGTGGCGCTATCATTGCTGGCTTTGATGAACAACTGGTGCGCAACGTAGCCAAAGCTTATCCTGGTCGCGCCTCTTCAACTCAAACACTTGATGTTTTTATGACACTCTTATCTTTGGGTCGCAGTGGGTATTTGAATTTGGTCAAAGAACGGAAAACTAACTTTGAATACTTGCGCATGCGTATGAGAGAATTTGCCAAAAATAATAAGGAAACGGTGTTTGAAAATAAAAGCAATCCGATTTCTTTGGCATTAAGTCTAAAGCAATTGCAAGATTACGACTTGGACCTCACTAAGTTTGGGTCGATGCTTTACACACGTGGTATTTCAGGCGCACGGGTTGTGAATGTGGCGGAACAACGAGTCATCGAAGGACATGAGTTTATAGGTGAGTATAGAAAAATACCAAATATGCAGAATAAAATATATCTTATTCTCTCACAGGTTGGGGCACACATCATTCTCAAACGAAAACTGCTTATTTAACAATGGCCGCTGGCTTAGGTATTACAAAAGCGGAGATCGATAGTTGCTTTGAAAAACTAAAAGAAAGTTGGCAAGATTTTTTAAAAAGTAGTAAAAAGAAATAAAAAGACTAATACATACACAAACTTGCCAAGACCAAATATAAAATATGAAATTGTATAGCTTAGGTATGCTGCAAGAATTCTATGCAATTTTTATATTGGTAAAAAAAAAACTAGCTAATCATATTACAGTCAATTTTTTATGAATCGTAAACAAAGAAACTAATTATTTAACATTTAATAAAAATTAAACTAAAAATACGATATATGCTATTCGTATCGTCTATTCACATTTAAAAACGTTAACAATTATTTCTATTCTCTTTATCATGACCTAATTCGTGGCGTTTTTCAATACCTGCAGTGGTGTTTTTCATCTGCAAGAAAATGACATTGTACTTTGCTCATTTTAATTAAAATTTACACAAATTTACCTCGCGACTCCTCTTTTCCAGAGCCTCCTTCATTCGCATTTCAATTTTTGTCAGCGAAGCATTATATTCTGATTTGAGTCGATCATATTCGCGCAGCATGTGTGCTTCCTTGTCGTCCGCATAGCGCTAAATCATTAAAATATTCTTAATAAGATAAGCAGTCTTATTTATTTAAGCTAATTACCTTATAATTCGCCGCTGTATGTTTAGCAGAATTGTATTTCTTATGCCAACTTGCTAAAGCCTTTTCGTGGGAACGTTCGAGCGATTGCAGTTTATCTTTCCACTCAGACTCAATTGCATCCACATTTTTGCGTTGATTTTCCCATTGCGCCATCACAGCCTTCATTGATTGCCGCTCTGCTTCGATTTGAACTTGCCGCTCTTCCAGTTCTTTCGACAATTGCGCAACACGCTGATTTTTGGCCAATAACTCATCTCGACACTTATGTAAAATAGCAGTTTGTTTTTCAATCATTTCTTGTGCATCGGCATCCTTTTGTTTCAACAACTCTTCCACGTGTTCACGTTCAGCGAGTATTGCTTGTTTAAGCAACTCTACCTCGGTTTGTCGCTGTTGCAGGTCATTGATGGCATGCTGATATTCTCGTTGCAAACATAGATTTTTCTCTTCAGTTTGATGAAGCTTAATTTGTAATCGTTTAATTTCTCCGGCAAAAATTTTTGCCATTTCATCCCGTATGCGTGCTTCAATTTGTTTAACTTCACTGACAGGAGGATTATTATTATCTTTCTCATTGCAAGATATTTGCCTAGAAGGCGATGGAGTCGTAGCATTGGGCTCCGATGCATTGCTTTGACTCTTTATATACTCTTCGAAACGTGTCGCTTTGCTTTTAAGTTCACGTATTAATGCTTCTTGTTGTTCGCTGAGTTTTAATTTTTCGTTTAGTTCCGCAATAATCGCTTTGGATTCTTGTAATTGTTGTGTAAGATCATCGATTTCTTTCTTATTGATAGAATTTACATTGCTCAACTTAAGATTTTGTATTTCGAACTATAAAAAAAAAAATAGTTAATTAGAAATTTCTCTAAGGGAGTCTCCTTAAAATCGTTACCTTAGTTATTTCCGCCATGTAGTCAATACATTTGCTGCAGTTGTTCGAGCTGTCTGCTCTCTTTTTCTTGGCAGTATTGGACTTCTCCTTCTCCCAACGCTCCTTCAAAGCTTGCACATCGCGTTCATGACACATTTTTTCTGCCTCAAGTATTTTCGTCAATTCTGATGATTTCACTTCAGCTAATTGTAGTGCTCGTTGCAAGTTGGCAACTTTTTCGCGCTGCTCTTGCAACTCCTTGAAGCTGTCTGTGTTACGTAGTTTTTCTATTTCATATCCTAAAGCTTCTTTGGCGTTAGATATTTCAATATAAAGATTTTTTAAGCGATCGCATTCGGCCTGCGCATCTTTTAGCAGAAATTTATGCTTCTCCAATTCAAGCCGCACATTATCCGCTGTTGTGCGGCTGCGCAGATTTTGATTTTCTTTCACTATTTGTTCATAGTTAACTCTCATGCTCTCATGCTCCTGCTTCAGTTCTTCCAAGTCAACTTCAACATTACGTAATTGCGCATCTAACTTTTTGCGCTCAACAACATGATTTTTACACTCCGCCTCTAGTCGAGAACATTGCTCTTGTAGCATTTGTTTTTCTGCTTTCATTTGCTGTTGCAATGCTTCAATGTCAGTATTATTGCTGGTATTAATATGCTTCGCTGATGATTTGGCACAAAGCTCGTCGTTCTCTTGTTCCAGTAATTTGAGGCGATTTTCCAAACGGAGATTTGATTCTTTAAGTGTTGTGATTTGTACTAGCGCCTTATTTTCTTCTTCACGCAGTGTGCGAATTTCTTCAGTTTTTTCAACTAAATTCTGTTGCATTCGCCGTATTTCCTCTCGTTTTCCTTTTATATTTGATAGCGCACGATATAGTTCGTCTTTAAGATTACCCAAACGATCTGTGGTAGTCAACGGTGTGCTGCCTACAACTTTGCCTTGAGTTTGACTCAAACGTCGTGGCGTATCCTCCTGATTATGCTGATGTAGCACACTATCCATAACATCCAACTCAGCCGTAGTGAACTCCAAATGCTGAGTAAGCGAGGCTATAGTTTTTTCCATACCTCTAATTTGCTCTTGCAGACTGGCTATAAGCTTTTGTAAACGTACATTTTCCTAATATAGAAATCCATTATAAAAGTATATAATATCATAATCAAATGATTTCTTATTTATGATGTAAGTACCTGCTGATAATTCTGCTGTCCTCGTAGCTCATCACAGCGCCTTTGCGCTTCATTAAGTGCATTGTTGAGATCATTCATTTTGGACGCCTTCTCCACCAACATGTTTTCATGGCTACTTTGCAATGCTTGATAACGTGCTTGTAAACTTTCTAACTCACTAGTTTTCTTTTCCAACTTACAGCAGATTTGTTCCATTTGCTGTTGTTTAACATCGAGTTCAGCCCTATGCCGCTCAAGCATTTGTTTTTTCTGCTGCTCGGCATACCGTTGACTATTTCTACCCAAATCACGCTCTACCATATCATATTTTTGCTGCACGTCCGCTAGCAGCATTTGAGTCGTTTCCAGCTTACCCAGCACTATATTGTATTCATTTTCTAGTGATTTTTTTTCATCACGTAATTTAGATATACTATTTTCTAAATTAGAACACTTTTCTTTACACTCCACTAATAACTCATGTGTACTATTTTTATTTGCCAATGCACGATCCAATTCCGCCTCAGCGATACACAAACGTTTTTGCAATTCATCACGTTTCTTTTGCTCCTCATTAGCCAAATGTTTGAAGTGCTCTGTTTCTCGTGTACGGGACTCAAGTAGCATTTTTAACTGATGTACCTCTGCATCGAAGTTGGCTGGTGGAATGCGCATATGATGTCCGTCATTGTTGGACACCAGTGGAAGTGCTTGTTTTGAGTGCGCAGAGTGTTCATCGTTCAGATGGGATTGAAAGTTAGAAGTTGAATCAACAGTCGTTTCATCCTCCTCCAAATCGTCAAAAGCATTTTGTAATAAATTGCCCAACTGAAATGAAATATAAAGAGTAAAAAAAAAAGAAGAAAAATGCTATAATTACATTGCTCACCTCTTCTTTGTGACGCATTTGATCTGCTAAAACCTCTTGTTCTGCAGCACGATCAAGACTGGTATTTACCTTAATGCTTTCTGTACCTTGAAATAAACTCATCGCTATACACTATTAGTAATCTTATTCAAGTTTGCACATACTCCCACAAATTAATTAAGGAATTTCAAACAAATTGAATATTAACCGATTGTTAAATTTGTCGCGCCGGTGCTATTGTATTTATCAATATTTGATTGACATTCACAATCTGTGAACAAACATACAAGGCGCCATCTAGCGGCACAGAGCTAAAACCTAGAGTAAATTAATTTGTGCTCAAGCTTATTTTGTGGTGAATAAAATTAAAACCAATTTTAAAATTTATTATGTAAACCGTGCGTATGGTAGAAGTTTAAAATTATTCCTTTAAACCTATTTTACGCAATTCAGATAAAGTAAAGAAATTTTTCTCATTAACAAATGTAACAGCATCAATAAAAAAACGAAAAGGCGTATTACTCACCTTTCTGTTGACCAGCAATTTTTACCAGAACCACTTTTAGTATACTTTTCAGCCAAAAAAAATAATAATTTGCTTTCTGTTCGTACTATTTTTCACATATACATAAAAATTGCATATACGATATATTACGTTTAATTTTAAAGAAAAAAATAACAAAATCGTTACAAATAATTGATAATTATGTATGGCTTACTTAATTAATTGATGCAGTGTTACAATAATAAGCTAAGTTGGGGTATTGTAGGCACCATTTCATTTTTACCTATTTTTCCTAAAAAAAATTATAAATAAACTAAAAAAAAACTAGTGTAAACGAAATATAAGTGTATAAGTCGTTTCAAGTTGTTTCACTAAAAGCTTTTGTTGATGAATAAAAATTGGTATTCGCACAAAGTGGGCAATTGTTCTGGAGTATCAAAGGAAAGGAAACGGTATCGGCCTCTTCATTCAGTATGTCATTGGAAATACGGAATATTATGTGTAGGTTATTTAGGCTATTAGCCCTGAATATCAACATTTATATAAATAACTAAATTGGATTGTTTTAGTTTACTATCTAAATGTTCGTTTTTTTTACAAATATTCTATTTCTATATTTATGATATTTATGTATATAGTACGTTCAATATATTTATATATTTTTATTAATAAAACACACCTACTATATTCCATTTATATGATTTCATTAAAAAAAATGCGAAAAGCCGATATGAGTTTTTGTTTGTCTCCATTTGAGTAAGAATTTTGTTCATCTACATTAGCGAATGGTGCCACTGTGCATCCTAGCCGAGAAGCTCGTGCTGTTGCCTATAAAAGTTAACTAAACAAACCTAATATACACCGTGTACATAGTCCCGCCGAGTCAAAAAATATAGTACAAGAAAACTACCCCCGCGCGATTCAACTAATTTGTATATTCAATAATGGCAGCAATGTAGTTGCTGTGTCTGCGTTAGTACAAATTTTATAAATCATAACTGAAGTGTATTGATGCTTTAAAATTAAGTTGCAAACTTCTTAGTTTATAAAACGAAATGGGTAATTTTTTGATCTCCGCTGCAACATAGTTTCGATATCAATTAAAAATAAATAATATTAGTACACAAGATTAACTCAAAGTTCTTAATATTTTCTTTTATTTTTTCATCATTATTTTTACCTTATTTTCAAAAAAAGATTTTTTTTTAGATTTTTTTCGGTTTTTTGTATATTTTATTAATATTATACAGACTGTCCATTCATGTTCACTAACGCAGATATATTGGGACATTTATCTAATTTTTCGGCGTCGATTTGGAAATCTTTGGACATGCGTTTCCAACTTTGCGCATCGAAGTAGTAGAATTTTCCTTGATTATTACCAGGAATTCGAGTAATCCATATTTTCTCTTCTATGTGAAATCTCCAATCGCGGCCATAACTGTGAAAATATTGTTGAAAATAAAATTTATTAATATATGTATATATGATTGCAATTCATTCAGAGCTTGTCATTGAGTGAGTATGATTAGTTATATATTTAAAATACAGCTATTGTTAGTTTAATATGAACAGAAACATGTATACTCTATTAAGCTCTCAATTAAATTTTATACAAATTATTTTAAACTCTGTTATATTTTCTATATTTTTAAAATAAGACGATTTTATTTTTTGATTCTTACAGTTCCGCTGCGGCCATCATTTGCCAAATATCGCCGATATTCGTGTAAAACAAGAAAAACAGCAAATCTTCTTGCAGCTTATTCAGTATGGGTGCAGACAGTTTATCTTTTATCGCATAATTGATCAAATATTCGGTTGGCACGTTGCATTCAACGTCTTGTACTCTATGGGAACAATACGGCGGTTAAAAATTGTAATAGTCAATATTATTATTGCGCATACCTGCAGGGGTGATCCGCAAACGGTCCAGCGAATGTAGGATGTAAACTTTCCTGTGAATTCAAATTTAGACCGAGGCCGGTAAGATCATTTCCTAACGCTAACGTCACTAAATTTGGATCCGATTCCGCCGCTCTTATAAATGTAAGCAGACCCACCATACCAAATTGGTTATTCACCATACTCGCTGGGATGTTTGTGACCTTACCTAAATGTGGTGGAAAGGAGTTTAGAAATTAAAATTTGATATTAACATGAATTATATGATAACTTAATGGACTTTGTATGCATGTGTATGTGGTATTGTAGAGATGGGAACAAAATATGCCGCAATGTAGTATGGAAAAGCAATTATTGCAAACATAAAAAACAATAAGTAACGGATTAAAAGAATTGAAAAATAACGTATTGAATATTTGGTGGAACGAAACGCATTTGCACGAAAATCATTTATTTGATTAACAGTTAGAAATGATAATAATTATGATACTAAGGCTAACACAATGTCTAGTAGTTGATGAATCATTCTATACACTTATCATATGGAATTACAAAATTCCAAAAGAATTGTTTATTTACTTATTCAATCCCTAATATGTAAGACTTGAATTACTTGAATTGAATACAAAAACATATAGTATACATAATTACAGTTCTCTATTGAGTATTGTACTATTTTGCATGTCTGTAAAGGGAGTATATATCTGAATCGTTTGTTATACTTTAGTGCCGACTTATGCACAATTCCTCCATTTTTTAGTCTTTGAGTTATAATTCTAAATGTTTACTGGCCAACAGCAGTTTAATAACGCTCCAGGTAAAACAATACCATTATCAACAAAATCCGCCCAATAAGAGGTAAATCACAAATAATTAAATTAACGTTTCCTTCAGGTACGGAATTCAAGTCTTTCATTTTGGAAAATCTTGTATTTTAACGATACGAAAAATTTCAAATTGAGCATTCATATGTTTCCCATTTCCATAGCTTTATTATGTGTGCGAGTGAGAGTGCGTTTTTGTCTAAAGAAACAAAGAATTTCAACAATTATGGCACAGGGATAAAAAAAAAGGAACAAAAAAAAAAAAACGAAAAACTGAAATGAAACACGTTCAAAAAATTTACCATCAGGTGAAGTTTGCACGCCGCTTTTCACAAGTTTATCATTGCTGGAATTATCGTGCTGATGGTCGACGATTCCTCTACCACTACTGCCGACACCACTACTACCGCTAACGCCAACGCCACTCCCAACTGCACCCAACCCACTGCCACCCACAATCGAGTTCATTGTCTTCTCCGCGCCATCCAAATTGTTCTCCGTGATGCCCGAATTCGTTGTACCGTCGGAGATTTGAGTGCCTGGTAACGCAGGGAAATCTTCATTGGACATGGTGAATTCCGATTGTTCCGACGTTGGTTGTTTCACCATGCCGACTGCTCATACATATATATTTTTATATAATGTATTAGATTATATACACAAATCAATTAAGTAAGGCGACGTTTAGAGTTATTCGAATTTTACATACGGCAACGATGTATAACGAAAACGAAAACAAGAACAAGAAAACAGAAACGGATAACCCCATGATGAAGAAAGCGATGTCAATATAATTTGACTAAATATTATATAATATAAATACAAGAATTTACTAATTAATTACTTTACTTGGTTATTTTGCTTTTAGGCATGATTTTTTCTTTAACTACCTTTGTGCTTGTGTTTAGTTATAATTATATTATTTACGGCAAATTCAAACTTGTTTCCAGTAACATATATTTATTAAGTATAAGTACTGAAGATGATTACACCATAACCCCAATGCATTCGTTGCGCTAACAGGATGGCCACTATATACATATGGAGCGCATATATACTTTTATAAGTATATATATGTACATATACATGAAATTTAAGTTTGATTAGAAAATTCAAACGTTCTTTTAAATATAATCCAAAAGAAAACTTTAAAAAGTGAAAAAGAAAAAATAATTAATTACCAAAGTTCATAAGTTCATAACAATAGTTGCAATAATTGCAAAAATAGTTGCAAGAAATTTTAAAGTATTTGGAAGAGTACATGTATGGTGATCGGCTATAAAATAATCAGTTTAATTAATAATTACAGCTGAACAAACAATTGCATACACATTTTAAGCGATAAATAACTTGTTTAATTTTTGAAAACGAATAGACAAAAATCCAAGAGAATAATTGAAACTATTAGGCTAAAAATATAATAAAAGTATAGTATTATATAATTGGACTCATAATGAAATATATGTGTGTTTAAACTTTTTGCCACAAAAAAGGACACGTTTCTGAAAGATTGAATGCTTTTTTAATTGCTTTAATACCGAAAGAATTTTAGAGATATGTGGCATTATATTGGTAGTTATATTCCCTCTCTGTACTAAAAATATATAGTCAATTTGAGAGCCAGCTGAATTTGTTTTTGGCTTTCTTTGAATTTCCCAGCTTTTAGGTTGGGTCGTACGACATCATTCCGTAAGATGTACAGTGCGTGTTTGTTGTAGATATAACATTGCAACTATCCTTATGAGTAAAATTTCAATTCATGACAACTTTTTGTGCTCATATATGCCTTTGTAAACTAAGTAGAAAATGAAGCAGCTGAGAATGTGCACATGCATCGTTAAAAAGTATCTAAGCAAATGTATATAGAAGAAACCTATTTCTCTTTACGATACATACCACCACCTCAAGAAATAATGAAAAAAGATTGCTCAATGTATAAGATAGGTAGATGTAATTAAGAACATACATATACATATGTGTTTGCATAGCACAGACTTCCATTCACGTTTTTAGGGGCAAAGGATATATGTTTCTACATGAAAAATATGCCATCGTTTATTTAATAGTGCTTTCATCAACTTCAGCTGAATTTTTGAGAGATCTTAATTAGAACGTCTGTAAGCTGTAGTTGTCAGTTATGTTATTAAAGTCTTATCTACTTTAAATTAAACCATTTAATATTTCTTGTTATTCTTTAAATTTTTAACATTTGTATAAATACATATTAACTTCGTATACTTATGTACATAGTCAGAGAAAAAATGGATTAATTATTTTACACATAGAGCAAACTTTAACATTTCTTACTTAACTAAATTAATCAATATAAATATAATAAAGAAAAAAATGTAAGGATATCGTTGAAAAACTCACAAGAGGTAAAGAAATTACCATAAGGTTTGCTTCCCGGTGGCTGGAGGGGATTCGTCTGAGGCAGTGATTGATCGTTCTGGCCACGCACATTTGTCAACGAGGGAAATTCCGTTGGATCGAGTAGCGCGGGCGTTGCCGTATCCCCACTGCCACCAAATACCGTGGGAAAACCACTCACACCACCTCCAGTACCGTAGCCACCACGTCCGGATTGCATAAAGCTGCCCATATTCGACTGTAAATATATAATATTGTGAATTTATAACATACAAAAATAGATTATATATACATATGTATGTACATATGTAGAGTAAATAATTATATAAAAATTTGTAAAATTTACCATTGGGCCACCACCTAACGCCTGCATGGCTCGCCGTTCGAACGCTTGTTGACCAAAGATATTCGCGCGACCGCCTCTCGATAACGCCGGACCGCCCACAGATAATTGTGCATTGCGATTCGGCGAGAGTTGAGGTTGTTGCGTTTGTCCATAATTTGCACCTCCTGCAAGGATGTTTTAAAACGAAAACAATTATTAAATAAACATTCTCACATACCACTATCTACAGACATATTTAGGACCCACTTAATCAGAATTCTTATTAATAATTTTTTTTTTTTTACTAAATATTCGGATTCAGTGGGTCAAAAACCTGGCAAAATGTGGCGTCTGCACTGTTATTATTGTATGACACTGACCCGTTGGAAACATGCCAGACGTTGGTGTTACATGACCGGAAAGTGAACTACCACCAAATCCACCTGTAGTTCGCCCTGTCATTGAGGTGTTTGCTAAACTTCTCGGAGGCTGTTGAAAATTTAAATTCGCCATATTCTGAAAGGAAAAAATTTCGCTGTGAATTTGCTATATAAAATCTTGGTCTACAAATAACAAACTAAATTGCGAGGATTGCACAGAATATCCGTGCAATGGCAAAAAAAAAATCTATGCTGCGTTAGGAAAAATATTATACACAAAGCCATTTATATTTATTTCCCGCCGATTCGTGTGCATATTTATGTCTTACAAATTATAAATGTCACATTGAGTCTTCTTTTGACAGTGCAACGACGAAACATTTCTCTATAAATACTCAACTAAAGAAAAGAAGATTAAGCTGAGCTTTGCAACCTATGGCATTATATAAAGTTAAAACATTTCGAAAATAATAGCAAACAGTAAATATTCATAACAGAATACAAGTATGTACATATATAAATAAATAAAATTTGATATTATAACTGGTTGTATACTACAGTACCCTCTTTTAAACCATCTTATAAAATCTTATTAGAACATTCAAAGAGAAGGAACAAGAAAATGATATTCAGTGCTTAATTCATCGTAATTTAAATTATGTCCTGTATATACACGAATTGATTATCTTTGCACAGGCAGTATGTAAACATATCAAGAAATGTGCACGTGTATGTATGTATGTATGTACAAACAAATTTTTTTGATGGTTGGGGTAGCAGTAGGTAAGTAAACAGGGAACACAATCCCTGATCGATTCTCTGCAAGGAATTTGTATAAGATATTTGTATTTTATTTTTTATTTTTTATCATTATATTTGTTTAGAACTACATTTAACTCACAACATTGCCATTCATATTTTTGTTTCTTTTAAATTTGGGCATGACTATCCGATGCATACAAAAATTATTGAAAAATAATACACTTGATGATGATACAATTAATTTTATGGGAATTTATATTTTTCATATATTCATTTAGTTTTATACAATTTAATTTTAGATCACAACAATATTTTATCTTTAAACCGTTAGGTCTTTGTGAACTCCGCATTTAACTATCTTATTGGAAATTTCCCGCTTGATTTTATTTTTGTGCTATTGTAGTAGATCATTTACACAAACTCATAAAACTTTTTGTAAACAAAAAAAAAAAAAAAAAATATTTCAATAAGTTGCAAACTCACCAAGATTTCTGCTTTTCTCTGTTCTCTGCTGATTTTTTTCACACAATCGACACACTGTAATTGTTGCGTTCACCGCATCTAACATTCCAAGTGACCTGTTTTCGCAGGAGCTTGAGCATACGCTAAAACGTCGCTACTTCTGCGGCACTCGTCCTATTAGCTCACTAAATTGTATGTCAGTACCAACAGTACTAGCTATGTTGATAATTCCTTTTTATTATTTGTCCTGACGCTTTTGTGGTCTAAGTTTAAAAATGCGAATATTTATCAATACAAGTAAACAATCACAAAGAAAGAAATCACTGCTCACGGTTGCAAACGAAGATTTTGTGATCAACAACTTGCAATCAGAAATGGTTTATTATTTTCTATGATGTTAACAACAATTAGAGCGTCTTACAATGCGATTAATAGATAAACAGATGTTATTGATTTCTTTGCAGATGAAAAACGTCAGCAGATTTTCCTATATGGTATGCTTATCCAATTGATGGTAAGAAACACTTTGCGTGCACCTCTTTTGGTGGTGCCTTTGGTAAGACGAAAAGTTTCTTCGTCCCTATTGACGCTTTTGTATAGCTCTTCACTGCAGATTTTATTCCTTTTGTTATTCTTCTTAACTTTCACGGTTGAATACTGAAAATTACGTTTGCAAAACGCACATGAAATGCACTTTGGATCTCCTTACACTTGAACTTTTTACACTTTTATATTCACAAAAAATTGATTTCAATTTTTCACACAATTTTCTAACACTCTGCGAAACGACAATGGCGACACGAACACCACGAACGAGTTGACGAACGAGTAGCTGACTTAGTGCTGAATAAAAAGGTTTAAATTCTGTGGAGTTGCATTCGAAATGATACAAAATCCCTGTTATGCCAAAGAGGCATACCATAAAAATCATTTAAGAGAGAAAAAAAGCTTACGTATGAGCAAATCATATTATTTAAATATACGAGATATTTTATTTGAAAAACATATATACATTCTACTTCACCAAACCGAGTTCCCACACCGGGAAATTAATTATTAAGAAAAAATATTGCTTTTAAATGTAAGAACGTTATTAAGTACAACCTTTTAACTAACAGTAAATATATTTCATTTATTTGCATTTTCGCAATTTCTTTCGGACAAACAGAACACAGCTGAAGAGCTTCTACAATATTTAAACAATATTGACGGCCCGTATAAACCGAACACAGATAAGAGACAGTATTGATAAAATATATTTTCTATTTATATATGTACATACATATATACAAACTTTATTAAGATTGAGTCTTTATTCCCATATATTTAAATAGATTACGTACATAGTTCTTATTAGGCTGTGTGCCAATCAGTACCTTTTCTTCATATAGTACAAACAGGTGGAATTTGCCAAATGAATTTGTCAGAGCTGACGTAATAAAAGCTCTGAGAAAGTCGCATATATTTTTGCGCACTGGTCAAAATTTAATAAATTTTCCACCAATAAAACAGAAGCAATGAATCCAGTTAATGATTTGTTGTTAATTCAGAGTTTTAGGCAATGGGCTAATCGCCCGGTAATAATTGGTTCATAACAATTATTTCTGGCAATGAAAGGAAAATTTAAGAATTTCTTGCAGCACGTTCAAAAAATTGTACAAATAATTCCCAAGAATCATAACGAAAAAGCAGTATTTGGCATGTGTTAAAAATTTTGTCCTAGGCACTTCGAATGCCTCCCTCATAATGCGAATCCCTTACATACCACATTTCAATTATAGAATGGGGTTGTTTATTATGGTGAAGGCTATGCCAAGCGCAAGCCTAAACCTTTATTATTGAAAGAGAATGATTATTTACAGATTTAAATTAAGCAATCATTTATATATACGCTTGTCGAATGTGCGAATGGATTAATATAAATGTTTAAAAAAGCTTCTTCGATCGTAATTGAGGAATTATTTTTTCGTTACAACCCTGTTTTTGAATTGACAGTTTTTTGAAGGGACAATATTTCGAAGAGGGAAATTTCCCCAATCATATGATAAAAAAAAAAGATTGGAGCCAGTCGAAAATTTTACACGACGGGCTGACTTGGAGTAGCGTACACGCACATATTTTAAACTATTCCTGATTTTCTGCAAGTAAATTCACTTTTGTCATACCTGGAAATAATTAATTTTGATACATTGAGACTAAACGCTTATTAAGAGTCCACGAAGTTTGATAAAATATAACAAAAATTTGTGTTTTTGCTTAATTTACAGGAATCGTCAGATCGTGAAAAGAATTCCATCGGCGAAATCTTAAAAATTACTCTGTGAAAAACGAAAAAGAAAATTTGCAAAGATGGCACTCAGCGACGCAGATGTACAAAAACAGGTGAGTACATATTTAAATATATTTATAATCAGCGAAGAGTATTATTAGGTGGTTTATAAGTGATTATTCCAATGGAAATTTTAAACGATTCCGTGATAATTTAATACTTCGAATTTTATTGAATGATAGCAATGATGTTGGCAGCCATCATGTCATGGGATGTGTCATGTGAATACGAAGTGTATGATAAATTGTAATACAAATAGTGTGACCTTTTACCAAAAATTGAAGTTAACCTCATGGATTTATTATAAATCGGTGACTCTTTATATAACTGCTACAAATATTTTAAATTGTTTTTAAAGTTTTTTCACTTTCAATTGGAGGGTTGTTGGTTAAAATATCAATGGGGCTTGTCATGTGACCAACCGAACGTTATGCCATTAGTGTGAAAGAGACAACGCCAGTGTAAATGAACGCTTACAATACAAATGATACTTATCTCATTTATTAAGCTCTCATATATTAATGAAAAATACCAGTTAAAGGAAATTTTGAGAGTGGATTATGTGAAATTTTGGAAAAGGGTTCTTATTGGAATGATAAGAAGCCATGCGATAGAAACAATTACATATTTATCAAAAACTTAAATTTTGATCTTTCAATGCATAATCAGAAGGATGGTGCATATTTGTTTACCTCTCCGATGGCAGTACTCTGAAGCTCGAATTGCTTACAACTAATCATGTGATTAAAGTTTGGAGTTATAGCTTAACTATTTTGGTCCAAAGATAATTAGTTAAAAAAAGATTATGGAAGTGGACGTTTAGGTATTCATATTATTTCTTTCATTGCAGATCAAGCATATGATGGCTTTCATTGAGCAAGAAGCCAATGAAAAGGCAGAAGAAATCGATGCTAAGGCCGAAGAAGAATTCAACATTGAGAAAGGACGTCTCGTACAGCAACAGCGTCTCAAGATCATGGAATACTATGAAAAGAAGGAAAAACAGGTTGAACTTCAAAAGAAAATTCAGTCGTCAAATATGCTGAATCAAGCTCGTTTGAAGGTAAATTACTTTTTTTGTTGACACTAGATAACGTATCATTGATTTTTATTTCTGGCTGACAGGTTCTGAAAGTTCGTGAGGATCATGTACGCAACGTTCTTGATGAGGCACGTCGTCGTCTTGGTGAAGTTACGAAAAATCCCGGCGAGTATAAAGAGGTGTTACAGAAACTTATCTTGCAAGCCCTGTACCAGGCGATGGAGCAAAACGTTACCCTACGCTGCCGTCAGGCCGATATTGGCCTAATTAATGAAGTGTTGCCCGCCAGTCTTGAAGAATACAAAAATAAAATTGGCAAAGATGTAAATGTGCACATTGACACTGATAACCATCTTTCAGCGGACACCTGTGGTGGAATTGAACTAATTGCTCTGAATGGACGTCTTAAGGTAAACTTTTAACTTTTTGTATATAAAATAAATATAATTAATAATGAAGGATTTTTAATTTTGCTAGGTTCTTGTCTTGCAAAGTTATCTGATATTTACAATAACAATAATTATTTTAACATATACAATTTTTGTATTACAGGTGCCTAACACCCTTGAGTCCAGATTAGAACTGATCGCGCAACAACTTGTGCCAGAGATTCGTAATGCTTTGTTCGGCCGCAATACCAATCGTAAATTCACCGATTAAATATTTTAAGTGAAAACATGCAACAAATCCCAACAGACATTTAAATTCAACAAACATAGTTTAAAAATATAAAAGGTATATGAAGAATAGAAATACTGAAAAAGGCAGTTGATTGATTGCGAGTCATAATATATTTTAAAAAGCAAATAAGATTTTCATTTACCTAAAATTTGCGGTTAATTAACAGAAATGTCAAGTTAAAGGAAGAGTCGATAAGTGGGAATGTAAAAATGTAATATCAGTGTTTGATATAAGAAAAACAATGCAATTTGTTTTCTTGAAAGTGAAAGAAGAGAAGACTAACCGAATGACAACCTCTAAGCAATTATTATGAATCAATTTCGAAATTAATTAAAGAAGTGCAATATACTTCATATTATTATTCACTTCAACATTTAGCTGCCCATTTAGTTCATCAGAGTCAAAAAAAAAAAAAACAAGTAGTGAAGATATTTGTGTTATGGAAAGAAATTTTGTTAATAGCAAGCATATTAGAAAAGGTCAAAATTCACAAAATCCTTGGTTATAATTAAATAAAGAAGTGTTAAGCTTAAATTTATATAATAGCAAATAAATAAACAATGCAATACATAAATTATAAATATTAATCAATGCATACTCACATACATTTATACACATACATTCCTGTACAAAAACAAAATTGTTGCTAGCTAATTATATAATTTTTATTTGCTTTCTGATTAACTAACGAGCATGCTTTGTTATTAATTTTTTATTCATGGATTCATTTAGATGAAAATCTTAAAATTGTCTTTGTTATGTTTAGTGTGATTTGTCCACATTTTTGGTTTTATAATGTAAATTCACCCATATTTAGTTACGTTGTACTATAACAATTGTCGTTGATTTTCTAATGTCAAATAATATAACTAGCTGTAATGTAGATGGATTAAACATACGATACAATACAACACTACAGGCACCACATACTTATCCTTTAAAATCAACCGTTGTAAAATTGTTATATGACAGCAAATTAAAGTACAATGTTACGGATAGACTTGTAATGACCTTTCACGATTTGTGAATGTTGAAGGAGTAATGAAACATAGTGGTGTGCATAGTTTTATTCAGTGCAGCATGCAATAAGTAAATTACAAAAAAAAAAAAAATCGTGCTCTCAATACAAACTCAAATGGCGAGACCTCTCAGCATCGCCGCTTTTCAAACACTGAAATTAATCTCTGCACGTCAAGTATTTTGTTCGTGGGCAAAGTAATTGATTTCACTGTGCGAAACGCAGCACTCGTCAAAGGTTTGTGTTTGGAAAATGAATTTTCTTTTGAAGAAATAAAAAATGCATTTCGAGTTGTTTGTTTGTTGGTTGAAAATACTACTTACTCGGGATTATGCATTGTATGTCACTATACTATATTTTTGTGTGTCAAAAGTATTTTCAAGTACTTAAAAAATTCTTGTTGCTTTGTTGATGGTATCTCACTAATATTTATTATTGTAATAAATATATATATATATATATATATTTGCGTTTATGATATATTAATTATGAGTAATCTAAATGTTATATAAAAAAGAATATACAAAAAAAAAAAAAATGTTGGAAATGATTGCAGTTGCACATGGATAACTTCAAAAACTTTCACCATAAATGTTGAAAAAATAGCTCCTGGATGGCTTATGTATGCATACTACCGAATCCTATCTGGTTGTACTTGATTTGCTTCGTATGTCCTTTGGGGAACATTTCATTTACACTAACTACATATGCACATATTAGCATTATTATTTTTAATATTATATATATATAGTTTGTTTTTTCTCTTCTTTCAACTTTCTGTTAATTTTTGAAGTATTTTCTTTATAATTATGTAATGATAAAATGATTGCTTGTTGGTCATATGTGTAAAAAACACAAAATTTTGAATAAAGTTACTTCATAATCTTTTTGATTAAATTCAAATCAAATATTTATCTATTATATAATACAAATTACTTGATTAAGGACTAACAAAAATTAAATTGCTTTTAAATGAGCAAAGATGATGGGACTGTTGCAGTTGTCTTTGTCGCCGTTTGTTGTAACTTACCTAGTAAATATACATATACCTGCATACAAACGTACATACATACTTATAAACTGATATTTAACAATCATAAAAATAATAAATAAAACAGTATTTGATTGCAACAAAGCGTACGGAAATGGAAGGAAAAAAAATTGAGAATTGGTTTTTGTTGGGGGGAAATGGGGGGTATTCGATATTGAAATTAAGATAAACTTTTTCTGTTTCAACTCTTTGAACCTCTGTAATGTATTCAATTGTTGTTTCCTTTTCAGATTATTGTTAGTTGAATTGCATATTCATATATTGGTCCATGAAAATATCTCAAATACGATATGAAGACTATAAAGTGAAAGGAAATTAAAATAAAAATACCATATTAACATTTCCAAATTGTTTTAAAGTTTCGAATAAAATTAATTCATAAATTAATAATGTTAATAAAAGATTTATTTTTTGTATAGAATTATCTTGTACATTATACGTAAATGTGTTACACATATGTACATATGGCATTGTGTTACCAGTTAAAATAGTAAATACAAAAAATACACTTCATATATGTTACTTGAACTGTTTGTTGATTTACTCTTGTTATAAAAGTAAATATTAAAAATATGCATACATATTGATGTAAACTTATTTATGTAAAAATAATACATAGAATTGTAAATTAATATTGGCGTTTGAATTTTAACTGTTATGCGTACGTATTCCTATTAGCAAGTGCTGATTGCGGAGAAATCATTATTAACAGAAATTATTAGCTAATACAAATTAAAGTCAACATCTACTGATACAATAAATTTATATAATATGTACATATAAATATTTCGAAAAATGATTTCACTTCGCCGCCATAGCAATGTTAACCATTCTACGGACAACATTGACATCAGTAATTGTGCAGGGGTCCACGTCTTGCTTGCCCATTGTGACGTCACAATCCATGTTCGCTACACCTTCCCCATTAGTAGTTATTGAGCCAGCGGCGGCTTGAGCAGAAGCATGAAATTCCACACACTTTGTTGTAGTTAACAATTCATCCAAATTACTAACACTAATACCAGCACCCGGCATTATTATCATATCACGATGTTTAGCTATTAGTTGAGCTAGATTTTCACTACCCTCAATGGCAGTGGCACGGAATCCACTGCTAAGTAAGCGTTTAAAACCTAACTCCTTTATAATGGTTACATTTTCGTGCATTAATTGTGGATTCGTCAGATCGAATGCGCGATGAAATGTTACTGGCATCCCTGCTGCCCGTTCCATTAAACGCTGACATTTCTCAACATCAATCGCACGTTGCTCGGTAAGCGCACCAAATACAAATCCATCAGCTCCATGCGTACGTAAAATTTCCAAATCCAATAAAACTGCATCCATCTCAACATTTGAATAAATAAAATCGTTTCCACGTCTTGGTCGCAGCATGCAATATATTGGTATGTTAATGAGATCTTTCAATGTCTTGAGCGTACCAGGTGAAGGCGTCAAACCACCTTCTGTTAGAGCGGAACATAGTTCAATGCGAGTTGCGCCACCTTCCGAAGCCGCCAATGCCGAAGCAACAGAATCAACGCAAACCTCTAGTTTTATATCGCTAGATGACATCGATGTGAAATACAGGAAATATTATGCTACGCTAAGATTTATTTTTTCTTATGAATTGTACATAAACGATTTTTGGGGTTGACTGGTATTTCAATTTCTTAAAAATACAAGTCTTTAAACAAAAACCTTGCAATTGAAAACAAAACAATTATGAATGAAAACGCAAAAAAGCTGCCAGATTATTGAATACTTTCATTTGTATGAGTAGCGCTGCCCAAATTTTGTAAAGATTTTAGTTAAACATTCCTCGATTGGTTTTGTAATTTCTTATTTAAATTCCCCTCCCACTTCCCACTGTTACTAATACTACAACATAAAATACGTTACGAGTCATTTGTGTTGTTGTTGTTGTAGCGTTTGTTCCAGCCCCTCTTAGGGACATGCTAGTTAGTCTAAGTCACTCAGATCATCTATTGGGAGGTCTAGGAAACTTGCTATTTCGACGGGTAAGCAGATGCTATCTCTGTTGTTATTCTTGTAGAGACTACGTTGACCCCGCTTAGGGACAATTCAAAATTAATCTAAGTCACTCTCAACACAACTGTTTCTGCCCCTCAGCTCACCGAACAGAACTAATATATTGTTACGATTTTACTAAATCAACCTCGATTATTTTCTAGATCCTTCGGGTACGATCTCTGGATTGTTAAATAAAAACTCGCCAATTCAATTTGCAGTATCTTTCGCTATAAAGATTTTATCTAATGTCCTTTATTTACTCCATAATTCATAATTCAATTATAATGCACTTTACTATTTACAATCACTAGTATCAACTTTCACAATTTACTTTTCTTAAATGTAATCTCCAACGCGTTTACTTTTCGACTTCACTGATGTTAACGCCAACCAGTTCACTTTGTCACTAACTCGACTTGCAGCTGAGTGTCGCCTTTATATAGCAGTCGGCTGCTCGCAGACGAAAGCGTAGAAGCATCGAATTGTTCGCTATGGAAGGTTCTTGTTTTATCGTTTCTAGAACGTACTAGTTATCGGCTTCTCTCTTTCATCTGACATTCGCCTCGCATTTTCGCAACAATATAATTTTTGACAGTATTTATCAAATCAAAACAGCTGATTTTGTTGTTATTCTTGAGGAACATTTATTCTAATCCCAGGGTATCGTGCTACTAGCTATAGAACTTTGGTTTAAAAAATGAGATTAACAAATCTATTAAGAGCCCTTCCAGTTAAGGAACCAGTGGTCCCGAAAAGAATGGTATCTATACTGTACATACTCGTTTTTTTCGCTTACTGTAATAACTTTTTTTTTATCATTTCATTCTATAGAACAAGCTTAAATCCTTGGCAATAGTGACCACTGGTGCCACCATTTTTTGTACGGGTTTCTCTATTTATAAATGCAATGAAAACTTTTATAAGAATACATTGATGCCATTAACGCGATATTTACCACCGGAGACAAGTCACAATTTGGCTGTTTTGGCTTGTAAATATAAAATATTCTCAGCGCCGCCGAAACCGGATTCGCAAAATCTGGTATGAATATTAAAATGAATTTATTTTAAATCTAGTATAAAATACTTCTTAATTTTAGGCTACTACATTCTTTAATAAACAAATAACGAATCCAATTGGTATAGCTGCTGGTTTCGATAAACAAGGTGAAGCTGTTGAAGGTTTATATAAATTAGGATTTGGTTTTGTTGAGATAGGTTCTGTAACTCCTGAACCGCAGCCAGGCAATCCAACTCCGCGCGTATTTCGTTTAGTTAACGATGCGGCCATTATTAATCGCTATGGATTCAATAGTGACGGACATAAGATTGTTTTCGAACGTTTAAACAAACTAAGAATTGAGCGTGGTTTTGATGGTGTTTTGGGTGTTAACCTTGGAAAAAATAAAACATCCGAATCGCCAATTGCAGACTATGTAAATGGAGTTAATGTATTTGGTCCCATTGCCGACTACTTAGTTGTCAATATTAGCAGCCCAAATACCCCTGGCTTACGTGATTTACAAGGTAAAAAGGAATTAGAAGAATTGTTGAAGGCTATTATAGTAGCGCGGAACTCTCTGCCTGTAAACAATAAAGTACCTATATTATTGAAAATTGCACCCGATTTAACGAAAAAAGATATGAAAGATATTGTAAGTGTTATAAACAAAAATGCTTGTCGAGTCGAAGGTATTATAGTATCGAATACTACATTATCGCGTGAAAATTTAAAAGAAGTTGAGCTGGCTGGCGAATCGGGTGGGTTAAGTGGAGCCCCCATACGTTCGAAATCCACGCAATTAATTGCCGATATCTATGCGCAAACCAACGGTAATATTCCCATCATTGGTGTCGGGGGTATTTCATCAGGAAAAGATGCGCTGGAGAAGTTGGAAGCGGGTGCTTCATATTTACAATTTTATACTGCATTCATATATGAGGGTCCGCCGGTTGTGACACGCATTAAGAAGGAGCTTTCACAGTTATTGGAGGAGAAGGGTTACAAGAGTGTCGACGATGCAGTGGGTAAAAATTACAAAAAATATGTTAGTATATAAAAAAAACAGTGGCTTATTTTTTAACAAAATGTTTTAATAAATATTTTTCAATACATATTATATATATTTTAATTTTTTATTCGGTTAATTTTAAGAGTTTGCAGGCTGCACGCTAAGCACCCGCCCTTCGATGGAATGAGTATTTTTATTCGAGGCACTATTAAACCCATCGCGGTTACTAAAAGTCACAAAACCATAGCCTTTTGAGAGACCCAACTGTTTATCAAAAACAACAGAAGCGTTCGAAACATGCCCAAAGTTGGAAAAATAAGATTGCAGCTCTCTTTGGCCAATGGTCCATGGTAGGTTACCGACAAACAGTTTATAAGTATTGCGTGCTGCAGACATTTTAAATATATTTAAGCTAGGTTAATTTTTAGGTTCCTTTGTAATTTCAATCAGATGTATAGTATGACCGCCCATAAATTCCGATAAATCAATACCAGAACTTTTACCCACTTCGTCCGTATTTATAGGTACTGCACGTAATTTCCACTTTTTTAATAGTGCTTCAATGGACCAATCTGCACTTCGCTCTTGGTATGTGCAAACGAATTTAGCTTGAGGGTTTCTTTCAAGAAGGAAGGAAACAGTCACAAGTATATCTTCAAAAACACTCGGATCGTAGAAACAATCCGCTCCTATAATTAAATCAAGTGGTCCGATATTAAAAACACTATTTAACAATAAGCCCCAACTAACACCAATGACTTCTATATCTTTTCCTGGTACAAGATTATTAGTTAAACAAGATTTTCGTATGTGTGCTAAAGATTTCGGCAATATGCAACTGTCGCTAAGTATAACACGTGCACCACACTTTGCTGCCAATATGCCCGGAAGCGCAGTACCCGCTCCTAATTCTAGTATATGTTTACTCGCAAGATTCTTACGCCTTTCCCACAAGAACCACGCTAGAACGGGAGCACACGGCCAAGTATAGAAAGAGTATCCACTTTGTAGAATCTGTGGAAAACAAATAAAATGGGTTACATCACACAAACTTACTTATATGTGGGTAAGGCTGTGCATATTTTCTTTACCTCAGGTATTTGAATTTCTATTGTTTCAATGGGTTCGTCGGAAGCTTCACCTTCATCCGCGTTACCTTTTTGGTTGGTAAATACAAACTTTCTGATATGCTCTGGAACGTCGTTGCCACTGCCGCTGGCTACACCTGCCACTTGTATATTCGCAGTACTTGTTGCTGCTGTCACTGTTGTTTCTGCTACCACTGTAGTTGTTGTTGCTAGATGTTGTTCGTTATCACTGTCTTCATTTAATTGATAACCGCTTGTCATTTTTTATGAGTTGGAAACAAAAGTATTATGGAATGTTTATATAGTTGAAATTTGAATTTTTAAATAAATTGCTAAACAATACAATTACTACATTGAAATAAAATCTAGCGGGATTTAAAAGTTACCAAAAACAAAATCAAATTGGGAATTTCCCTTTTCCCTTTGTTTATTTTGACAAACGTCAAGTAATAAACTTGGCAGCATTTTTTGGGAAATAACGGAGATGATGACTTTTATACGTATTTTTGTTTTGCGGTTTATAAATTTTGTAGCAGTTTTTGTGGAAGTTTATTGAGAGCAGAAGTAATATAATTGTTTATAGGCCTAAAGTTTGACGAAAATAAAATGGATGAAGTAGAGCAGTTTTTCGATTTTTCAAAGGAGTTCACCCGTATACCAGCACCGAGAGGATATATCTCTAGCAACCCTGCTGCCGCTGCCGGAACAATGAATAGTGGCAGACCGATTAAGCGTGAATTTTTTGGTGATCAATATTCAAAGGAAATTGCCGAACGAGAAAACAAACGTTTGATGGAGGTAACAAATATGTACTTTCAAGAAAAATAAATAGTTCTCATATCACTAAACAATAGGAGGGGGACGCCTCGATAGAAGATTTGCATTCCTCACGGCAAGGCGTAACATCTTCGACTTGTATGGATGAACTGGAAGGCTTAAGTGAAGATGATGATGAATTTAAACCAAAATTAAATAGAGTCGAAGATAACATCTATAAAAAATATGACTTCAATTTAAAACGCGATGAATCTCTTCCTATACATGATAATCGAGAGCAAATATTAAATGCTATACGAAAGAATCCTGTGGTTGTGCTTGAAGGTGATACTGGTTGTGGAAAAACTACACAGGTGAGTTGGAAATAGAATCACGTTTATGTCAAAATAATATTATCTGTAGAATATATTTTCATATATGATATAAATTCGCTTTCTTGAATAATTATTTCCAATTTTTTAATTTATTATAATTGCCAACCTCGTTAAATTTTTATAATATTATTTATTTCTTTGTCTTTTGGAATCGATACGAATTCCTCTGTAAGTTCTATTTCTAATAAGTCATTCATTTGTCGTTCTATCACTTCTTGCACTTCACAATTTTCTGTCAAATATTCGGCTGTACCATCTGTTTCTTCTTGAGAATCTGTTAAATTGACACCTGCTATCTCTGCAACACTTTCTTGTAGCACTCCCCGATCATATGTGGGTTCAATATGATCATCCAGGTGGTCATCACTTCCAATTGACCTTTGTTCTTCCAAATCTTCCAACATGTCCGATGGCAATTTATCAGTGAATACTGTGCGTGCTGACATCCTTCTAAGTGATTTATGTTTTCTAGAGTTATTTTCATTATCAACCTTGGAGTTGTCTTGTTTTTCTCCATAATTATTAGAGAAACCCTTACGCTTTAAATGCCGCTTAGAACTTTCTAAAAGTAGCGAATTGGCTTTGCTACCACTCTCAGAGTCATCAACAATAGACTGAATATTCTGAAAACACTGTTCAATGCTTTTAAAAATTGTTGAAGCTGGCAATGATTGCTTATGCAAACCATTTGTGTTGGTATTTACTAACATTTCTTTCATTTCGTTATATCCATCCTCTAGCACCGACAGCGCAGGCAAAATACGTTTAATCGCTGAAAAATCATGCAATTGTTGTTCAAGTCCTTTGCCACTATTATTGTACTGAAAACTAGTGTTTTCTCTATCATTCAATTTCTCGTAATCAACTAAATCCTCTAAGCCTACGCAGTAGTTAAGAGCGGTAAAACGAAAAGCATCGGCTTGCAATAGACGCCAAAATACGTAGCGCACATCATCCATGTCGATAGACGGTGGCAATGAGTCTATAAAGGTTTTCAGAATATGCCAAGTATTGAGAGTAGTTTCAATCTTAACAAAACCTTCTGTAGGTTGTTTAAAGTAAATCGCATACAGCAGAAACAAATATCCAATTCTTCGCCTCATTACTTCATCTGTAAAATGTTGTGCTGTCGTATTTTTAACTTCCTTATCCACAGTGAGGTCTCCATTTTTGATATTTACTTCAGAATCGCAAATCTCGTGCCTTGCACAGTTCATTATTGCTGCAGTGGTTTGTATTACTTCAATATGTGTAGTCTGTGCATAGTAAATTTGTTGAAATTGTAAAGCTTTCCATTGCTTGCAAAAAGATGCAAAGGTGTGATTTCCAGATGTTACAAATAGGTCTATTAATTTCCTACAGTCTTCGAAAATAGCTGATTCCATATTTGTTTAGCCGCAGATCTAATCTAGCTATGATAACAACTTTTACTTGGTCGGATTGCTATGATATTTGTCAAAAATGTCAAAATCCCTTTTAGTGTGGCCAATTAAACCGATTTATTTCGGTTTTTTTTAATTGGGAAATTTCAGAAGGTCGCATTAGGGTATTCCTAACATTACTGGAATATAAACAAAATATGTATGCACATATATAAAAGGTAAATACAAGTGAAAAGAAGAAGTGTCCTTTCACTGACACATATATAAGTTGTTTGCCGTGCTCGGTGAACATTCCATTCCATGAAAATTTTCCGCCGAGGCCGTTTTCCAATTTTCGGTGTTGGTCTTGATGTTTTTTCCAACAAATGGAGGGACATATATATTTTATACTAAGCTGCCACCTAACGATCGATAAACTTTTATGAGGAGGCTTTATTTCATGACATAAATACACTCGAGCTGCTCGAAAATAACCGAATAAATCCTGAGCTCCTCCTATGATTAAAATATCCATTTCGTTTTCATTGCACAACATCAGAAAGGGAGTACTAGACCTAAAGGACACAATCCAGCAAAACATACAACAACCGCTGGACAGGACGGCGTACCGACAAGCACTGAACGCCATTCACCAGGAGTCAGTCAACACCTTCAAGGACTCCCTTCCAGTGAATGGCGTACTCGGAGAAATACCACCATCCATAGCGGACAACGAGCTCGAGCTGCCTCGAGAGACCCGCGTAACCCTGACACAACTCAAGTCTGGATATTGTAGCAGGTTAAACTCCTACCTATCCAGACTAGACCCCTGCATACCCAACGTATGCCCTGCATATGGAGAGTCTCCGCACAGCACTAACCACCTCTTCACATGCCCCCTCAAACCCACTCATCTAACCCCCTTCTCCCTTTGGTCCAACCCCGTCGAAACAGCTCGTTTCCTGAACCTACCACTAGATGACCTCGGCGACTTAAACTGATCAAACCTGTGCCTAAGCGGGGTTAGCGAACCGCTACAACAACAACAACATTCAATCCCCATTTTCTTTATAAAAATAAACTGAAATTAATTTTAATATCAAATTACACCATCCTTTCATTTCTATTTCAGGTGCCCCAATATATTCTCGACGAGGCTTATACAAATCGGGAATATTGTAAAATAGTTTGTACACAACCAAGGCGTATTGCGGCCATATCCATTGCAAGACGTGTGTGTCATGAAAGAAAGTGGGAAGAAGGGTCTGTTGTTGGCTATCAGGTATTTAAAATACATTCGATTTATTTTCATTTCATGTTTTAATGATTTTTTTTTAATTGCTAGGTTGGTTTGCATGCGCAAACATCAGAAGATACCCGCTTGCTTTACTGTACAACAGGTGTCCTTCTGCAAAAGTTGATAAAGGAAAAAACCCTTAAACAATTTACACATATAATACTTGATGAGGTACACGAACGTGATCAGGAAATGGACTTTCTACTTATAATCATACGAAAGCTGTTAACTACAAACTCTCGTGGTGTAAAAATAATACTTATGTCGGCTACAATCAATGCCGGAGAGGTGATTTTTTTTTTTAGTAATGTGTAAAATCGATTCATTAATCATTTCTTTGTAGTTCTCCGATTATTTCACCATACGTCGGAATCCGGCGCCAGTTCTACGTGTTGATTCGCGGCGCCTGTTTCAGGTGCGCGAGTTTTACTTGTGCGATTTATATCGCATTAATACTTCGGTAAATGTGGTAGCATATATGACCAAAAAATTTCCTATCTTAATTATGTTTTTTTTACCCTTGTAGAACATTGATGTTGATATATCTGACCCTGGGATCTCTAAAGATATGTATAATATAGCACTCAAATTGATTATTGTCATAGATAACATAGAAAAACAGGAAGCTTCAGTTTCTCTGGAGCCTGGCGTAATAAAACAAACCTCTATACTCATCTTTTTGCCGGGTATCAACGAAATTGATCAAATGTGCAACAGCCTTAAATCATTGAGTGCATCTGATGAGTATGAATCTGTATATTTTTAGCACGAGAGAAAAAGTTAATTAAAATATACCTTCTATATCCTTGCACAGAAATAATGTGAAACTCTTTCCTATACGTTTGCATTCATTAATATCGCCGGATGAACAGAGTAAAGTATTTAATAATCCACCAGGAGGTTTCCGTAAAGTCATTTTGTCTACAAATATAGCGGAAAGTTCAATTACTGTACCTGACGTTAAATATGGTACTTAAAAAAAATTTAAATGACCTTATCTTGTAAATTTTCATAATATTTTTTTTTTCGTAGTCATTGATTTTTGCTTGACCAAATCGCTTGTCACTGATACGGCAACAAACTTTTCTTCGCTACAATTGCATTGGGCATCTCGTGCAAATTGTCGCCAGCGTGCCGGTCGTGCCGGCCGTGTTATGAACGGGCGTGTATATCGTATGGTGTCCAGGAATTTCTATGAGGTAGGCTTTTTTTTTAATTTATTTTTAAATTTGTATAAATATCATTATTGTTATTGATTTTAGCACTACATGGAGGAGTTTAGTACCGCTGAGATGTTGCGTTGCCCGCTGGAAACGGCTGTGCTTAAAGCTAAACTTCTCGATATGGGTCCACCACCGGAAATACTTGGTCTGGCCATGACACCGCCGAACCTCTCCGATATACATAACACTGTATTAACATTAAAAGAGATTGGAGCACTTTATACAACCGTAAATGGTATATACTCCATTCAAGATGGTGACCTTAGCTTTATGGGTCGCGTAATGGCTGGCATGCCATTAGATATTCGTCTAACACGTCTCATATTGTTGGGATATATATTCAGTGCTATCGATGAAGCGATTATAATAGGTAGTTAAAGAGTTGTTATTAGCTGTTTTAGTTAAAACTGTGAATTTTTAATTATACAAATAAAACTTATTATATTCTGTTTAGCTGCTGGGTTGAGCGTGCGTTCAGTGTTCAGGTCCGGTGTCGATCATCATGGGCATAACGAAGCGGATGCGTATATAGAAAAACTCGTTTGGGCAGATGGTTCTGGTTCGGATTTATTTGCTATCTTACGAGCATATCGGGTATACAAAATATTATCAGCTATTATATGTCCTTAATTAATTTGTAAATTATTAACCTAGGTTTGGTCATCTTTACGTGAACAACGAAATATCGACGAAGAAGATAACGAGCAAAAATGGGCTAAACGTTTCTATATCAATTTACGTTCAATTAAAGAAATGCATTTGCTTGTACAAGAATTACGACAACGTCTTAAACACTATGGCATACGTGAGCAACAGGCCTATCAACGTGTTTGTTGGATTGATCGTGAAAAGACAATTATATTAAAAATTATTATTGCTGGTGCATTTTATCCCAACTACTTTACACGTTCCAATTTAAACGATACTGAACGTGAACGTGGCATTTACCATACACTTTGTGGCAATGATCCATGCAATACAGTTTATTTTACCAGCTTCAATACACGACATATTGGTCAGTTGTATACAGGTTTTATAAAGGATCTGTTTCGTAATGTACGCATACATCCTAAAAACATCGAGATACGTTTTCAAACGGGCGCTGAAAGAGTGTTTGTCACCTTTAAAAAGGATCAAGATGATGATGATAGTGGTGCATATAGATTGCTAGTGCCAGGGCGCGTTTGTCCCGAGGTATATAAGGCAGTGCGTATGCGTATGCACGGCATGCGTACAACTATTCGTGTTATGGAGTAAGTGTTGTGATTTTATATAAAAAATTAAATATGTAATCAAAGCTAACATTCTTATTTAGTCCTCGTAATGAAGTGAAATATGCTGAGGAACGGCGTATAGGCAAAATGATAGAAGGTGTTTGGCGGCCTACAAAAAAACAACTGAAAAACCCGGAGTTGATAGTTTTACCTTCTGTATTCCAAAGAATGATACGCGGCTATATTTCTCATGTGAGAATTCTTGTAGTTTTGTATAAATCTGCTTAAGCTCGAAACATTTTTAGCACTATTTCGAACATTTCAAGCTTTTCTCTTATTTAATTTCGTTCAGATTGAAAGCTGCAGCAAATTCTATTTTCAACCACTCTCCGAAATGGAGCGTTTGCGAGAAATCCATGCACTTTTGAATAGCCCAGAAGAAATACAACGTGGACGTTTCAAAAGTCCGGCTGCCATCTCCAAAGGCATGATGGTATCGGCGCCATTTGAAAATAAATATCATCGCGCAAAAGTTTTAAAAGTATTGACAGCTGCGCGACAACATTGCCAGTTTAAGGTATGTATAATTTAGTCTGCTTAAGAATCGACAATATTAAGAATTAATACATTTATGTATGGAAAATTTTGTAATACGTTATTATCGTATATATATATATATATGTATATAATAAAATATTTAATAATTTTAACCTTGACTGGAGAAAAAATAAACTCAGAAAAGTTTGCGTTAGATAATAAACGCTACGAATGGACTGAAAAAATCTAAAATTTTTTGTTCTTCCAAAATGAAACGTTTCCTCTTGATTTTTTTTTTACAAAATAATTTTGATTCATTATAGTTTTTTCTGTTTTTTTTTTTTTATAAAGCTATAAATATACATATACATACATATGTGTTTTATATTATTCTCTTTTCTTTCTTTTATATTATTCTAAAACATTATTTGAAAATATATTTTATTTTACATATAATATTCAATAGTTGTGAAGTGAATATACATACATACATATTTTTTTGTAACTCTTCTTAGGTATTTTTCATCGATTACGGTAATACTGATATTATAGACTTTGAACAACTACGTCGATTTTCTTTTCGCTGCGAAAATCTAAATGACATACCAGCACGTATGTTTGAGTGCCGTCTAGCTATGGTGGAGCCTTCGACGGTTAAATGTCCCAGCGGTAAATGGGCAGATGAAGCAATGGAATTTATGCAACAGACTGCCGATGCTGGTGTAGTAGAAATTGAAATTTACTCCGTAGTGTCTGCTATTTCGAATGTGATTATTAAAACAGCCACCGGCACACTTAATGACATATTGGTGGAGAAGGGTTTGGCACATAAATCTGATGAAAACTATATGTCCAAGGTTAATATCATTTATCATGATATATAAACTCATGCTAATCGTATGTTTTCACATCCTTTTTATCTCTAGGCCGACCATGACTTCCGCTCGCGCAAACAATCTGTCGCTACACGTTTCCTTGACGAAGATCACTCCAAACAAAATGAAGAGTACTTACGTTCAATACAACCAGAAGCCGATTTGGAAGTAGATCCACCACCACGCGAATATTGCACTCGAAATATTACTTTACGTGGTCCCTATAGTCCTTTGGAAACAAAGATTTTCTCAGCTGTTCGTATAGGGACTTGGAAGAGTGTTCAAGTCGAGCGAGATTCTGTGAACTCAGTATTGCTTGACACAGATCCACAGGATGTGCATGAACGTTTAATTGTTGCTGCCAGCATAACAGAAGCACACAACGCCGAAACACTTACCGCTCGTTCTACAACTCTTATGCCGAACATACACGGCTTTGGTGCTTTAATGACATTACTTTTCTGTCCTACGATGCAGATAAAACGAAATGTGAATAAGACGAAATATGTTTGTGTATTAGCTGGATTGGGTTTTGATAAAGAAACTTATAAACCACTTTATGAAGAGCACGATATTGTATTGAATTTGGATGCGGACATTCTTAAAGATGACTTAGAGTTGGTAAGTGTAGTATATATTTTTTAAGTAATGCATTTGCTCTAATATAACTAATCAAAGAGGAATATGAAAAGTCTTTAGTTTCTTAAATATATGTATGAAATCCTTTTGAATTCTGAATTAATATATATATATTTTTTTAATTTTATCTTAGATCAATCAACTACGTTATTGCATGGACACAATGTTATATACGGATCCAAGTGATGAGCGCCCAACAATATTACCAAATATGCGAGCAGATTTGTGTGCTAAAATTAAAAACCTAGTTGTAAGGTAAGTCAGTAAACGACTTCAAAAATATACCTTTTGATTTGGATACTGTTGCGAAACTAACTCAACTTGTTTATAGACTTTTAAATAAGAATCGCAAATATATTGAAACACATGTCGACAGCTTCGATAATGTGTGGCAGCGTTATGATCCTGAAGAAGTGATCGAAACCGAACCGATTTATGGTCATCGGTCACTGTTTCCCATGCACTCTGCACTAAAATTGTACGATGAGAAGTTTGATCGTATACATGCTTTAGGTGTACATTGTCAGGAACTGCATCGCTTACGCCAATTGTAAGTAACAATTATCGTTAATTACAACAGTTCAATTTGATTAAACATTTTCTTTTTCCAACTTTTTTTTCCAGTGATGGTGCTATTCAACCGATAACCTGCCAGCTATGCAATCAATCGCTAGAAAATATTGTGCAACTACGCATACATTTGTTGTCTCAATTACATCGTGATCGCGAACATCAGATACGTTTTAAAATGCCAAAGTGTTAACGAGCAGTTGACATTATTTTTCTGAGTAACGAAATAATTTCGTTTAAATATGAATTTTCTATAGTTGCAGTCATTTAAGTTAGTTTATAATATTGACAATTTGCATTGTATATTATTGGACGTGAAGTTTTATAAAATCACTAGAATTGCATTAATTTTTGCTTACATTTTTTTTATTGAATCATACAGAATTAGTTTTTTTAAATTTATTTTATTGTTTCTTCTTACTAGTTTGTAGTTTTATTGATATTAATAAATGTATTACTCTAACAATCAATCATATTTTTATGTGTGCTAAGTATACAAAATACATATGTAGTAGTTTGGTATGTATGTATTTTCGGGTAAAAGTGTTGTAAAACTTTTATCCTTGTATTTTCGCAATTTTCGCCAAATTCTACATACATAAAGTATAATTTTGCATTGCGTTTAGTGGTTTGCTGCAGAGCCCGCATATTTTACTTTTATATAGACCATAAATTTCCAAATTCAGTACATTCGATAAATCGAATTGTATAGTCGAGTGCATTTGGGCATTCTCAACGATGAGTATATTATGTTCTGTCAATTCCACGCTGCGGTTATAGAGATTAATTATTAATGATTTAAAAATATGTTTTAATATATTTTTCTTTTACTAAAACTTACTGAAAATCATAGTCGCTTACATCCTCGGGATATCTGTATGCTTTCTCACGTAAATTTATCAATGTTTCATTACTATTAACCGTTATGTATAAAGGCGCATCATCTTGTAATTTAGTTTGATTATCTACTGGCCTAAATGTGAAGTAATTCTGTCCAATATAAACACGTAAACCATAATTTGCACTCAATCCATACTCTGGTGAGGGCAATAAAAATATAGCCATCTCTGGTAGTGCTGAGCAATCGGCGGCTAATAGCGTCTGACAATGATTCGCCACAGTCACCTTGGTGAATTCACTCAGGTTGATTAAGTAATCATCGAATGTGTTAACCATGCCGTTTATCACTGAGCAGGAACCTAGAAGAGACGAATTATTATTACATATAAAATGCAATGTATTTATATCATTTTTTTCTTTCTTTAGTTACTCACGTTTGAGGCCTGAATCGTAAGAGATCTCGTGCGAAACATCATATTTCGAATCCAATTTCTGCAAGAATGGTATATGATAGATGCGCCAATTTACACCATTCACTTCAACTGTCAGCCAGAAATGGTCGTTCGGTGCGTGTAATGAAAATTTAATCTCCTCTTCCAAATTGAGACTTTCCACCTTTTTCTCAGACAAAGCAGACACTAAATGATCCAAGCGCGTAGACCACAAATCAAACCATGAAGGCATCTAATGAACCCGAGTAATTAAAAACTATTAATTATATATATATATATATATATATATATATGCCAAGATGTTTACACTGCACCACAGAGAAGGATGCCTCAAAAATAGAAACACTTGCTTAGTAGAGTTAAAAACGTTTATAGGTTCTTTAAATTAAACTATTAACTTGTGGCTATACTTTTTGTTCGCACAATAATCTCACGCACACAAGCTTAATAAATGAAAATTGTACAAATTTACTTACATTATCGAATTTCAAATCCATATCGTATTTAGTGATGGATGTGAAATTTTCAAAATTACTGCGCTTGCAATATTTTGAGGTGGGTATTGGGCTGAATTTGAGTACCTCCTTCGGACAAAAGTCAGTGTCAGTGAGGGGGTTATCGGAGAGCAAGAAATCGCGCGCATAATCCGATGGCTGAAATATTAAAAATTATATATATATTTTTTTTGTACAGCTCGTGAATTTACTAAAATTTATATTAATTTATTTAATCAACTTACACCCGCCCTTCCGGAGAAGTGCACTTTGGAAGTGTTACTCGGATTGTCATTGGTTCTACTGGCATTGCCGAATACCACGCCGATATTGAAGGTGTGTGGCCGTTTTGTAAACACGAGTGGTTCATACGTTGCATTTATTTGTGCCTGAAATATTGAAATTTTTTGTAAACATGTAAAAAGTGCCTTTATAACATTCATAACAATATTAAATTTATTACACTGCATGCTTTTTTTTTGACGATTTCAAAATTTCATTTGTGAAAATCGGTTATATGATATAGTCTCCGATTTCTTTGATTCTATGAGGTAGGTGAGCTATATGATAAAATCGTTGTTGTTGTTGTTGTTGTTGTACCGATTTGCAAACCCCCGCGAGAAGGCTCGACTAACTCATCGAGGTCATCGAACAGTTTTGAAGTGTTCGGACCAGTCTGAATAGGTTGGAATTAAGACAACTACGGTGATGCCAGTCTTTTTTCTTTCGAGCACATCACCCAGCTGGCCAGCAACAGTTGTCGTCATCAAGAGGGGACTATTTTATTCAAAACTCACAATCTTACTTATTTTTGATTAATTTTTTTTTTACACATTTATACAGCGAGCCGCTTGCTTCAAGACTTCAGCGAACCATTAAGCCGAATATATCGGACTGGCTTCACTGAGCGCGCAACGTGTGCGCAAGAGTAGGATTTGAGTAAAGCTCCGAGACTATAAGTGCATACCCAGAAGCTTGGCAACACCCTATTATAGAAGAGACAAATAAAAAAGTTTTTCTTTTTCGCATAGAGTATTTGGACGAAAATACAAGAGTCTGTATATATGGACCTACACAGATCATAGATCGACTGAATAGTTTCAACCTTAGTCTAAATAATAGCCCGTTTTATACGGGGATACGAGACCAATGTGACTCTGCTTAAGTCATTTAACCTCATCGCAGATCACCGTCCAGTGAAGTTAGCTTTTTCACCACCTTAATCCTTCCAACGGAGTGGATGTTTTCCTCTTTTGCTGATTATACCAGCACGCTCAGCTTATAAAAGTGGAGATTTTCCATAAATCCAGGCAACACGAGTTGGCTAGCGCTAGTTCCTATGGGGAAAAACGCTGGTTTTAAAAATAAGTGAAAATCATATGTTTCTCTCTGAATATGCATTCCTCTATCATTCCATCTTGCCTGCTTTAAAGTCGCCTGGTACAATTATGAAGACATCATAGGGGCTGTGCTTGAATTCAGCTGCACCTTCCCAATTAAGAAACCGGATATTCAAAGGTACAAATCCTCGAATCAGAATCGTTAATAAGTTTGCAGGTAACGTCATCAAATCACCCGGTACGCGAAAGAGAGGGTCATGTACATATATGAATATTGAGACGTTTTCCTCAATACCGATGTCCATTCGCAGCGATGGATTGTCTTTCAGTCTTGTCTTTTCATGTATGTTTGTCAAGGTGGAAGCGCCACATTTGAAATTTGTGTAGAGTGTCTATATGTTTTTGTTTTTCAACAAAGGCTTGGACCTAAAGTTTTTTTTAAGCTACTTTCGAACGTCGGATGAGGTTTCATGAGGAATTTTTATACACTCAAAGTCATTGACCTTTCTTGCCGAGGGTCGACCACATTAGAGCTTTATTATACCTTTCAAACACACGAAATGACACATTAACCTTGGTCCAAAGTATATGTATAAGTAAGAGAAGGAGAAGACATATACCCATCGAAATTTATACCGTTTGGATCAGAATGACGAATTGAGTACGCAAACTGGTCGCCCAGTTTTTGAGATTTTTCAACCAAGCTTGATAAATACTACATTTGAACGATCATGGGTGGAAACCGACCGGCTGGGACCATTATCACATATATTCCACCGGTTTCTCAGATTTTAGATTTTGTGTCAAAAAGCTAAAAGCTGCCAAAAGGGCATCTAAGAGCGTGAAACTTGGTACATCGATGAATTACACCGGTTCGTTCAGATATGAGAATTAATATTTAATCCTAAAATGAAATACCATAAATTTGAAATTATCCTGAAAGGTATACAAATTCGGCATGGTCAAAGACTGCTCTTAAGTTTTTTTTTTTATTTTTTTTTTTTTATTATTATTTTGGTCTAATCAGTATCCGAACCATGATATTCCAAATGGTAATATGTACTGCTAATGCCTCTGCCAATGCGGTGCCATATTCTTATGAACATACATACATATGTATAGGTATGTACACATATTTGTTACATAACTATATAAAATCTGCTTGTTGTCCTTTGTCTATTTTCTTGAATACCCAAATCGAGCTACTTTAAATCTCTTCCAGTCATAATGCAACCACCCACCCAATTTATGTACAAATGTATGTATGTACATAACTTACACATTTCCATGGTGTCGTCACATTATTACCCTAATGTTGCCACAACAAAAGAACATTGTAAAACAATGTACATACACGTTTGCTTTACACCTGTACCAGCGGCTCAATAGGCTCCTTGCACTACTCATGTGTGTCTTTCTGCATTTAGACTACCTTGGGTGTAACAACACTCCTTCAGCAGTTCGTTGACTGCATTTGAGGGGTAATATTGTTCGTCATGTTGCCATCGTCAGTATGTCTGGCTTTCCGTTTGCACGGTAGTTGAGTTTACGGCTCCGCACTTTGCATGTCATTTGAACTCAGTCGGTTTTGTTTGATCAATAGAGCGGTGCGTTTACGGTTAATTATTTCGTTTTTTTTTAGAGTTTGAATCTTAAAAAAAAAAAACGAATACAAGTGAATGTTTTACTTTTAGGCAACTAAAATTTCAGTTTCTCTTATGCCAGTTTTAAGTAGAGGCGCCATTTGTGTTTGATTTGAATCGATTCGAAATTCGCTATTAACATTTTATTTTACATTTAAATTCTGTATTCGTTATTAACTAAAAAAACAAGTTTCTAATCAGCTGTGTTTAGAGCGGAAAACCATCAAAGAAATTAACAGATAACACTACTTTTCAGCCGAGCTCAACATGTCTTCGGTAAGTTTAGCAAAACCGCTCGGATGTCGATCATACGCATTGTACTACTTTTCTTCCCACAGATAGAATCTAAGCGCGTGCAATACCGGAAATATTTGGAGCGGGCTGGTGTCATTGATGCGCTCAGTAAGGCGCTTATTAAGCTCTACGAAGAGCAGAATAAACCGGACGATGCCATACGGTTTGTACGTAAATTTATGTGTGAGTCCTGTCCGGACGATGATCAATTCGATATGATGAAGTCGGACCTTGAGGAGGCAAATAAGACTATTGCGCGTCTAGAGCAAGAGTTGGAACGTTTGCGTAGTCAAATGTAAGTAAAAGTGTTTAAAACTAATTAGTTTTCATCGAGATTTCGACCATATCTGCATTTAGTAAGAAAACGCCTGAAGAGATTGCAGAATTATTGGAAGATGGTTTCAAGAGTCTGACAGAGGATGAGGAGTTCAACAACTCGTTATTGCGTAAATATTTAACACGGGAAGTGTTGGACGAATATATGATGACTACAACAGCACCACCTACCGAGGCTAATCTCTTCGATTGTATACAATCGGGCACAACACATCACGACTCCAGTTGTGGCGTTTACGCAGCTGATGCTGATTCCTATGATGTCTTTACAAAACTTTTCGATCCGATTATAAGAGATTATCATGGCCAGCTGGAAAATGAGAGTGATGTACTGCAGAAAGACAATGATTGGGGTAATGTGGATGAGATAGAAAATTTGGACCCGGAACGTAAATATATACTATCGGCGAGAATCCGCATAGCACGTAATCTCGATGGTTACCCCTTTTTCCCGAAGTTGCGTGAGAAACAGTATATTGAAATTGAAGAAAAGGTTCGTGGTGCTGCTGAGGCCTTGGATGGTGAGCTAACGGGCGCTTACTACACCATGGGCGACATCGAGCCGGATATCCAACGTGAAATGGTTGCACGTCACATACTTTTCAAACGTGGCGACGAGTTCCTAACCACTGCTGGTTGCTATCGCTTTTGGCCTACTGGACGTGGCATATTTCATAATCCAGCTGAAACATTTTTAATTTGGGTAAATGAAGAAGATCATTTGCGTATCATCTCAATGGCTAAATGTGGTGATTTAGGTAAAAAATATATGTTTATATATGTATATGTACCAATAAGTTGAGCCACTTTTGAGATTATTGAATATTATTTAACTTGTTTAGGTGATGTTTATAATCGCTTAGTCACGGGCGTAACCGAATTGGAGAAATCTCTGAAATTCGCACGACATCCTCGCTACGGTAACATCACCGCCTGTCCAACCAATCTTGGCACCACACTGCGTGCATCGGTACACATTCGTTTACCGTTATTATCGATGCGGGAAGAAAAACTCAAAGCTATGGCGGAGGAGTTGAACTTACAAATACGTGGCACGGGTGGTGAGCATACTCAAATTGAGGATGGTGTTATGGATATTTCTAACAGACGCCGATTGGGTTTTACCGAATTCGAACTGGTGAAATCACTGCAAGAGGGTATAGTCGCATTGATATCAGCTGAAGAGGAAATTGAAGCTGGCGGTGGTGATGACTAAAGGTGTGTTGAAATTGGAGGAATGGAGTAACTTATATTGTTTAATTCGTTTGCGTTACAGCGCATTATATAATCTGTTATCCATTTAAGTTTTCTTTAATAGTACAATGGATGAAATGTTCAATAAATTTTGAAATCACTTAGTTCCCTAAAGACGCGATCCATTTTTAAAAGCACGGATCGAAACTAGATAATAGGATCGTTGTCGGAATTTACTCAAAGGAGCTTAGCATTGGCATGTCTTTTTGTCCATCGGAATACTGTAGTGTCGGTCAGTCGTTTAGGTTCAACGGCAACCTCAAAAAACTGTATCTATGTATGTATCTTCGGATAACAATGTAACAAAGAAATCAGAGAATTTGAATAAAATAGTCGTAGATCACTTCATGTTATGATGTTATGAGCAATAGTATACCGGATAGAGAGATTGTGGATGAGCTTGGAAGGAAGGACACAGTTGCCTTTCACTTTCGACGTTGTGGAAGAGTTCGGGCATGCCTCTCTCCACTTGAAAGTTCACGATGCTAGTACAGGGTGGAAGTGATCAAGATAAAAATGTGGCCAACATGGAATAAAAGTAGGTCACGAGTGCTTATCTCGTTAAAAGGAAAATAAATATTTAAAATTATGAATATTTTACATAGCTCATTGCTCAGAGAAGTAGACAAACGAATTGCTGTCGAATTTGTAGAGAGCGAAATAATAAGAACAAAAGTACATCGATTTCTCAGTGGCCTAAGTTAGGCGAAGCCCAGCAACTACTTCAAAATAACCTAAACCTTTATAGTTTTGCTCGTAAGCTTGTTGCCAACGAGAAGCCAACTTCATTATACCCTCTCGTAGAATGCTGCGTCCCTATTGGTAAAAAACTCGAAGATCCAATTTTCACAGGCCTCTCTTGAGGCCAACTTCTCACCATTAAGCATAAGCAGGAAAAGATAGTAATCACTTGGTGCCTGGATCGGACTATAAGGTGGGTGCATTAGGACCTCCCATCCGAGCTCCTTTAGCTTCTGGCGCTTCACCTAAGCCATGTGTGGCCTGACGTTGTCCTAATGGAACACAATTCGGCCTCTGTTGATCAAAGATGGCCTCTTCTGGATGAATGCTGCCTTCAAGCGGTCCAGTTGTTGGCAGTAAAGAGCCGAATTGATCGTTTGGCCACTAGGGAGCAACTCGTAGTAGATGATTCCTTGCCAATCCCACCAAACACACAGCAAAACCTGGAGCACTTTTGTGCTACACGTTTGTTTACAATATCGGGCTCATAAACTAAATAAATTTTTTCAGTCGCTTTGGCTGCTTTTTCGCCTTGATCGAAGAAAAATTTTAAAATATAGCGAATTTTCTCTTTGCTGGTGTCCATCTTTGCCGAGCGCTCACAACTTACTGAGGCAATCAATCGAAAAACTGTGAAAGACAAAGTTTTAGCGCGAATAAACACGTTTTTAGCGCCGTATAGTATGACATGAAGCGACTATGGACAATAACGCCATCTCTTAGATAAAGAACGAACTTTTTACTTGACCTATTTCTTTTCAAGTCAACCAAATTATTAAAGCATATTTGGGTTAACATGAAAATGGTTTCTGATTTCCCGAATTTGTAAAATGGGGCGTACAAATGTGAGTTCATGACTAAACTTTTTTTTGAAATTGTTTATATGCAAAAATCTTCAATAAATTTGTCTACTGCCGAACTCATGCCAAATTGCGAAGCCCATTTTGTTGGGGATTTTCATGTGTGTTCAAGTGGGCTCTGGAATGTTATAGATTTACAGCTCGGCAGAGCTACCATCTACGAGTACCTTGAAATTTAGATTGAAGCGGTAGAATAAATGAAATATTACATGAAGAGATTAAAGAAAGTCTTAATGCGAAAAAATTTACGAAAAAGGGTTCTTATTTGAGATTAGATGTTTTAATCTAAAAGACAGTTAACATACATATGTATATTATTATGTCCATCAGAGGAGAAATGATTCAAAAATTATTTGAAGTGGAAACCTGTCTCAAAAACACAATTTGTGAGCAAATGGATTGACAGCATTTTCGAATCTGAAGCTGGTATCCTTGAGGAGATTGCACAATGGAGCATTGAAATTCGTTCGAGGACCCGGATGAATATTCGATCATTTGAATTTTAGTGAAGTATTCCTAAAAAAATTATCAAAATTTATGAAATAGACAAAGGTTAGTTTAAACGATTTCTAGCTTTTCTTAATATTTTCCTAAATATTTGTTTTGATGTAGCGACAAACACCGTTAGTAGTTTTATTGATATTAAAATCCTTTTGCCACTCACCTTCCAATCACGTGTATCTATTTTCGATGTACGCTCCAAATTGCCAATCACGCTAAACCAATTACTCTTACTCGAGGAGTAAACGTCCATTGTAACATTCCAACTGTGCAAAGCTTCGTTGACATTCAAATTACTCGAATGCTCCATTGTCAAACTGAATTGTTGTCCGAATTTCTCGGCAGTATTTAATAGATCTTGTTTGCAAATCGAGCCGTCAATCTTGAAATCAAATATATGGTTGTATATCAAAATGTAAGGTTAATAATATTTTCGAATTTTACATCTAACCTTTGTTGGTTTCTCATTCCGCACCAGCATGGTAAAGTTTCGATCATGACCCAAATGAATTGAACTCAATTGAGCCACGCCAAAGACATACATAAGAAAGTTGATGACTACATTTCGTGAGAAGCCACTGCGGATATTGTAGATATACATATAAAATATTGATTTAAAAAAGTCTACTTTTCGGTCTCAATTTCAAACTCACTTTTCCATAAACTCCGACTTTAACAACATGCCACGATATTTATTCAATTCGTTCAAATTCGTTTTTATGGACATCGAAATGCCGAGATCCTCAGTGTCATACTTGAACAGTTGGAACTAGAAATAATGTCAAGGCATGAATTAATTAGCTGCACTATGCCAACAAGAAATTCCAACTTACCACATCCACGAGGCGATCCGGGTACATAACCTCCTCGAACGGCTGAGTAGCTTTTGTGATTTGTCCACGTGTCGATGTAATCGAACGGGACTTAAACGACAGACCGCTTGTCATATTTTCTGGACGCTGAAATGTGTATCGTAAGCATTTGCTAGTCATATTCAAATTTAAATCAGTGTTGAATGGCACATATATGAGGAAGCCCTGTTCACGGTTGATTTCATGATCCAAATTCAAGAAGGGATTATAACTCCGACTCCGACACGAAGCATACGAAGAGTAACGAGCATCGATCTCCAGTGCTGATTTCATGAGGTCATTAGTTTGATGTTGTGTAATGTTGCCACGCAATGAGGTGAGTACAGTGGTTTGCAACAGTACATCCGAGGCGGTGCCCAAGACTGTGGGCACTGAATATTTGGTCATGAAGGGCCAACGTACAGTTTGCATGTTGATATGACTGTCGGCACGTATGATGAAGCTTATGCGACTAATAACTGAAATCAAAATGAAATTAATGAAAAGGTGAATACCTAAGTTGCCTCGAATGCGATAAAGCGTTACTTACGATCGGTATAGGTTAGTTTTTGAAACGTTTTCTGATTTAAGTAATACGACAACACGGTCTTGCCTTCCATTTGCAAAATAAATTCCAAATGTAGCGGTTTCGATTGTATGATGGGCGCTTTCATGGCTTGGAGTAATTCTTTAATATGTTCGAATTTCAATGGATTTGCTGCGTTTTTAAGAAATTTATGGAAAATCGCATCGGGTAGACCGCGAGCCTTGATATATAACTAAATAATTGAAGATGTGTAATGAAAACACGTAATAGTTGAAATGCGTCAATCCACTTACCGCTAGCTGTCCTGTGAATTTTCCCAAAGCCTCTGTATCAAATTTGAAATATGCAACAACAGGTAAGTCAGATTTGGAATCGCCCACCAAAAAGGCTTGAAGCATTGCACCAATACCATATTTCGAGTCACGATAATCGAATATATAATTTCCAGTGACCCAATAGCGTGGTTCCGGTTTTTGTGGTAAATGTCGATTCATGTACGAGAGTAGACGGCGGCTTTTGGAGAAAGCGAAATAAAAGAAATAAAGTGATTAATAGAGAATATTCAAAAGTCAGATCCAAACAAAAATGCAAATAGAACATTTTATTTTAATTAGTTTGGTTGGGAATAAATGGCTTGACGCAGCCTGGGGCTGTATGAGAGTGGCTCGAAATATGTTTTCTAAGAATTGCGAGATGAAAACTTGCTCTCAGTGTTTAATTTCTAAAATCATGTAAACTTTAAATTTCCAGACATAACAAGGTAGGTTTCCACATGACCCTTCCAATGGAGTGGAGACCTTACTCATCCTTAGCTTGCCCCGGAGGTTAACGAATACTACTTTCAAAGCTAGAGCGCTAACATTATTTTGAACGACATGTTTTAGCCGCTGTATCTTCATTCATTGAACTATTGGATGAGTGCATAAGTTCGTGCCCGATTCCGCTGGATTCCGTTCGAATCGTTTGAGAGTGGCGCTCGTGGAAGAAATATATACATATTATATAATATTATATATCGTTTGAAAGGTGACAGTTCGAACTGTAAATCAAGCATAAAATATCTTCATTTTGATTTGAGTTGCTTAGTGAAAAGACGCATGGAAGATGGACAACGAAAAAGATCATATGCGTCATATTATGTTATACGAATTCCGCAAAGGAAAAACAGTAGGCGCTGCAACTAAAGATATTCGCGAAGTTTATTTGGACCGTGCTCCAGCACTCCGCACAGTAAAGAAATTTCGTTCTGGAGACTTTAACCTCGAAGATCAATGATTGATAACGATGTTCTAAGGACTTTAATTGTGAATAACTCACGTATTTCGACGGAAGAGGTTGCCAGTGAATTGAACGTCAACAAATCAACTACGTTTCGTCGTTTAAAAAAGGTTGGGTACACTTTGAAGCTCGATACATGGGTGCCACATCAGTTGAGTGAAAAAAACAAAGTGGACCGTATGTCAAGAGCAATTTTTTTGCTTCGACGGATCAAAAACGAACCTTTTTTGGATCGGCTCGTGACTGGTGATGAAAAATGGATCCTGTACAACAATGTTCAACGCAAAAGAACATGGAAACAGGCACACGAAGGGGCGGAACCGATGTCGAAAGGTGGATTGCATCCGATGAAGGTACTGCTGTGCATTTGGTGGGATATCCGAGGCGTGATCTATTCTGAGCTCTTGCCAGCTGGAGAAACGATCACTGCCAACAAGTATTGTCAGCAATTGGTCGAATTGAAGAAAACAATTGATGAAAAACATGCGATTTTGGCCAATCGCAAAGGAGTTCTTTTCCATCATGACAACGCCAGGCAACATGTTGCAAAACCGACCCTGGCCAAACTGAAGGAGATGAATTGGGAAATCATGCCGCATCCCCCATATTCACCCGACATTGCACCTTCTGATTATCATTTGTTTCGATCGCTGCAGAACAATTTGAATGGAAAAAAATTTAAAAATGTGGGAGACGTCAAAAACCACCTTGACACCTTTTTCAACGAGAAACCGCGCGATTTCTATGAATCAGGCATCCGTAAATTGGTTGAACGTTGGGAGTGGATTGCCGAACATGATGGCGAATTCATAATTGATTAATAAAAGCGCTTTATTCAAAAAATTTCGATTTTAGTTTGCACTTGAAATCGGGCACGAACTTATGCACTCATCCAATATGTTGCCGTATATCTTGTACACCTTATCTTTCCATGCCTACGGTAAATCATTTGCAAAACTTTTCTCTCTATGTAATAGGACGGGATTGACGAGTGCCTTGTATAGATTAGGTTTGGTTCGTGGAAAGAGAAATATCAAGTCCAGCCAGGTTCTTCTTCACCTGATACAACCAACGGCGTGGAGATGTTTCTCTTCTCTGCTTCCACCGGCGGGTACTGCATCCATCTTGATTCGCCGTACTATACCAATGTTCCATCGGCTGCAGTATGCACCGTTCCCAACTCGCAGAAGACAATAAATGTTATCTCGAACACTACTATTGCCGATTCATCCGATGTAGTTTTTGCCTACGCCTCCGCAACATATAGCAGTACGGCAGTGATGAACGGCGTGGCCAGTTTGGTCTTTGCTCGTCGAGAGAGGAACTTTACTCTTCAATTGCTTACTCAGTCCAAAGGAGCACCTGTTGGCAAGAGCGATTCCGCGTTGGACTTCAAGGCTGACATTATAATAGATGTTAATGCTGAACCCTACACAGACGAAATTATCTACGAACTTAAAGTTATGACTGTCAACAGTGGATTAACAAATTACTTGGCTTCACTTGGTATTTTTAATTGGCGCTTAAAGTCGAAAAAAAAATTATTGGCGAAGAAACTGGTTACATTTGCCCAGGTTGTGCCTACGTTAATAAAGAAGAAGAGAAGATTGAATATTTTGAGTGTAACTTTAGTTTGGAATTTGCTAGAGAAGGCTTCGACTCGGCTTTGGAAATAACGATCGTGTTTGGTAACATAAGATAAGTTCTAGGCTTACAAAACCAAGAGGATTTACAAATAATTATTTATCTCTCTACTTTAAGCGCTAAAAACAATGAGAGTGCTAAATTCATTTGCTTTTACTTATATGGCATAAGAAACACTTACAGATGTTGATAACAAGGATATGTTGTCTCAGATATACTTGTGATGGTAGTGCGATAATAATTGATCATATGCGGATCTGTTTCACTTTGTATAATGCGATGAATACTGATTAGACGAGCGGCTGTGGGATTGGAGATTAGAAGCAGAGTAACGGCTGTGACACGTAACTCCAAACTGGCATTACGTGATTCAAAAATGGGCCAATAAATTTCGTAGATCTACAAAGTAGAGTAGTATATAATTTCATTTCGCTTTGGAAGTTCTCAATTCAACTTTACCCGCTCCGCGCGTTCGGTCGCCAGTGACAAAGTTACCCAAGCAGCCAAAAACTTGATATCCTCATTTTCATCTGGATCGCTAACAATAGGATCCAGATAATTAGCAACATTGCCCACTTGAAGATTACTCAGACCTTGAAGATAAAGCATTTTCAACTCATAATCACGGCTATCTAAAGCGGGAGTAAACGAGAGTCAAATTAGGTTTAAGACCATCTGTTGAATATGGCAACTTACTTAAATATAAATTGAAATACTTTTGTACATATTCCTCGAATACATCCTTGTTGATACGTCCAGCCATAAAGGCATTATGCACCAGAGTAGCGAAACTTAGTATAGCCGCTTGATGTACATCTGGCCGATCCGGTCCTATAAAAAGTTGTAAAAAATTTGAAATTACTTCGTAAATAGTTATAATTCTTACTCCACTTACCTAGGGTGAGAAAGACTTCACATTCTTTAACCAACTCCAAAGATAACTCAAATATATGGAATGGTATTGAAATCAAAAGCTGTACCGCAATTGTAGACTTCAGATCCTTTTCTAGTACCAAGTCTCGCGTTAAAAATACCGACGCCTTTGTACCAATTCGTGGTATAATCTCATGAAAAATATTTCGTATTGTTTCTTGCCTATATGATGTACCGATATCCACATCTCTATAAAGTTTCTTCAAAGAATCATAATCCATTTCGGACAGTACTTTTATCAAATCCGAAACGGCAGTATCGTAAGGTTCACCAAATTTGAGTTCCGCATCTTCTAGTCCTTCTGCAAGACTATTGAGCATACTTGAAGCTGCTGTAATGAGTGATTCCTGTAATTGTGGATTGCGACCGCCTGTTGGATCGCTCAGCTCATTGGGAAGCAACTCAAGTCCGGATATTTCGGAGCACATGGAAGTTTCAATGTCTATGGGATTATCAATGGAGGTCTCGTTTAGGAAATTCAACAAAAGTCTATAAATTAGAAAAGAGTTACATTTAGAATATATTGAAAACATACATACATGTGCAATAAAACTTTTATTGCAACAAAAATTCTTAGTTAGACTCACTCTGAGTTAATATATTGCGCCTCTCCGGTCGACTCAAATGTGTGTATCAACGTTGTGCCCTTAACATGTGCCATACTGAGGAAGTAACCAGTCGCTGGATGTGGCAGCATACCATAAATGGCTTCATTTCCAATAATGACATTCTTTTGAAAATCGAATTCGCAAGTATTTGAGGGCACGTTACTGCGCGTAACGTGTATAGCTTCAGAGAATGGTGTGCAGTTCTTTAATTCCGGTGTTTTGCGTATGGAAATGTAATTGGTTTTGTTTGAAACAAAATATTCTGTCGAACATTTGCCGTGTATGCCGATCTAAGTTCGAAATTCAATCGGAAAGTAATTTAAAAATGCTGATAGTATTAATACATACCTCATCTACAACAAAAGCGCCCGTAGATTCAACTTGGAATTGGAGTATGGAAGCAATGGCACGTTTGAAATTCGTAGACCAAATGGGATCTGCCTCCTTAAAAACGAGATGTGAGACAGTACCTTCGGGTGTTAGCAAGATTTTGAAAGGTTTGTAAGGTGGATACATCTCCTTATTTTGCAAGAATTTTTCACCAGAATTATTTAACGTAATATCGTCGATGACGAGCTTTAGAATAAGAGATAAAATATATACATATATGAAACACAAATATTCATCAAATTATAATATCAGTTAAAATGAGTTGAATAATAACAATACATTAGTAATGATATTTTTTTGTTGAAACAACGTTTCAAGGGCAGGGATCCTGTGGTGATTTCTAAAGCTGCTACAGACAATCATAATAAACTATTCAACCACTTTTACTAAATGAAGAAAGTAAACTCAGCAAACGTATTATAAATTAAATTTTTGTTCACCAAAAATAGTTAAGTCTGGTCGTGCTCGTTGCCCAAGTACTAAGAACTGCTCGACAACGTTATAGCAAAATCTTGAGTTCTAAACACTCAACAACAAGTTGATATTATTCTCGTATTTAATGGAGTCTGTGCGATTGTCAGGGTTTGAGCTGAGATTTAGGTTAGGTTAGATAGAAGTGGTTGCTAATTTGAGGTATCGAATCCATGTTGGAGATTCAATCAGGGAGTACCTCACAGCTCCGTTGTTTCAGGCTCCTTTTTCAACATCATCCTAATGATAACTTTTACTTAAAACTGCTTATTGAATTTCTGGCATACGGCAAGGGATACCCACAAAGTCGATTCTAATATGCTGAGTCCTACTTTTGTGCAGAAATCATCAAAAGCATCAAATTTTACAAGCCACTCAACATACCCGCTCTTTGTGTGGTGAAAGAGCGTGGAAAATGACAATATCGATTGAGTTGGATCGGTGGAAGATTTAAGATCATTAGCGTATTGGCATCGACGAGACGGTGGAAGAGTATGCTGTACGAGATTTATGGCAATATTCACAAAGTTCAGCTAATAAAGAGATATTGGATACTCTTGCTAAGTTAGCTAGCTGGATAAAAGCACTCCCTCACTCGAGCTCTTAAAGTTTTTAATTGCAACACCCTTCACCTCCGCTCTGTGGTGCTCATACCAAAAAAAGAAGTATAAGATAATTCCATATGATCTCCTTTGGCTACTTTTCAGCCAAAACAAACACTATGCAGAGGCTGACACACTGAAGAGGAAGATGTCTCTTTCTCAGTATTTGGTTTTAATGCGTTTTGCAGTTTTACAGATTCCATAATGAGAGTTCCAAGAAAGGGTCAAGCGTGAAAACAAGTCTATGTGCCAGCTCAGTGTCACAATTACTTGCCCATTTTTCTTTGTCAAGAATCAGTGAAGCGGGTAACTTAAATAAGAACTTATCTTCCGTCTGCCTGGCTTCCTGGAAAAGTATAACTAATTCACTAAGATTCTTGAGTGTCCTGATTGTTGACAGTTCCACTTTATTGAGACTTTTTTCTACTAAATTTTATTTTATTAAACAGAAAAGGGAGCGAGTTTTAGTTGAGCGGGAAGTATTTGTTGAAGAGTCGACCGTAAAATTTTCTGAATAATAGAGGTAAAGGAGAAATGTTGTTTATTTGAAATTTTACAATATCTACAAGTATTGAAAATTCTTGTGACGTCACTGATGGGAATTTAACACATGTTTGTATATATGTATGTATGTGTTATCAGTTATGCGCATAAACATTTAAGGTTATATACATATATAATATTACCCATGTGTTTCACATATTGAATGGCGTTCAGAGGTAATCAGCTGTTTGACTGATAAGCTTCTCTTGATTACTCCTTGTCGAGCCACATCATTTATGCATGAACACATCACACATCGTATTATACAAATAAACATATTGTATATACGACAAATGTGTGTATGTATTATAGCCGGTTGTTGTTGACTTCAAGAAAACGTTTGAAGATACTCTCAGATTAATCATTGCCGGCAAGAGTGAATACATAAGATGTGTACACAGTCCTATATATGTACATATGTATATACTTTATCTTCACAAATATTTATATGTATATATAATGCACATATTTACATAAGTACGCATAGCCATGCTGAAACGTGACGTGAAATCGTTTTAGCTTATAGTCGGCTCAGTTCCCATAATCACTTCACCAGTGTCCACAAGTGTACGAAAAAAATAAAGAGTAAAATAACCGAGTAATTGCTCTGCCTATTAGCATGTAATTTGCTCATACCCACATAACATTACTTAAATGCCCGTCGAGAAAAGCTGAGCATGTGGAACTCGTCCTCGGCATATCGCCTTCATACCACAAAATTGCGGAAGATGTCAAAACATATGTAAAGTGTGATTTTTTTTGCTATTATCTTTTTGGCAACACTGATTTAAACAGCTGACGTACGTTTCGTGTTTTGTATTACTATCAAGCATCTTCAGTTTGGTCTAAAATTTAACCATGAATCGGCTTACAAACGAACAAAGCTTGCAATTTATTGAATTTTATTATCAACATGCTTGCTCTCTCTGTTAAGAAAGTTCATGGCGCGCTTCGAAGCTCATTTTTGGCTCGGTTTATGGGTTGATGGCATCATTGGACCGTACTTCTTCAAAGAGGATACGAATCGTAACGTAACTGTGAATGAGTGAGATGATCTCAAACTTTTTTTGTGGTTTCAACAAGACGGTGCCACATGCCACACAGCATGCATAACAATGGACTTATTGAGAGGCGAGTGGGGCTATGTTAAATCTAATGTCTATACAGACAAGCACTTTTCAATTGACGCATTGGAGGATAACATTGAAGCATTTATTCGTGAGATATCGGCAGAAATGTAGGAAAGAGTATGCCAACATTGAACTAAGCGGGCATTTGAGGCGCAGTCACGGTCAACATTTGCATGACCGCCGCACTATCGATTCAAATGAAGATTTCATGCATTTTTCTGAATTTTATGTGTTTTTTTTGAAAAACTTTCCTATAGCTCTTAAAAAAATCACGCTTTATACAGAAAAATTGACGCAAAATTAAAAAAAAAAAATTAAAAAGTATTCACTCTGGGAAGGACTCAATTATTTTTGGGCCTATATTATACTCGTACATATGTATATTCTATACACTGCTGGAATATCAACTACAAAACCTTTTTCTCGAAAATTCCCATCGACGACACAACATCTGATGGACAGTAATCGTACATGCTTCAGCAGCACGAGAATGATTTGTTAATTGGTTGCTCTGCCCTCCCTCATTATGAAACCCATACGCTTCGCTTCCTTATCCAGTCTGAAGAAAGCAGAACTCACGGCGCGGTTATTGAGGGCAATTATATCAATATCATCGGCGTACGCCAGTAGTTATACACTCTTATAGCAGATTGTACCTTCTCTATTTAGCTCAGCAGTTCGTATTATTTTCTCCAGCAGTAAATTAAAGAAGTCACACGATAAGGAATCACCTTGCCTGAAATTCCGTTTTTTATCGAACGGCACGGAGAGGTCATTATCGATCCTGCCGGACCTTTAGGAGATCCTTAACGTCAGTTTACACTGCTGGCATACAAATGTCAGACATAGCGGCCCAGAGGCAGCTTCTCCTATACGAGTATATGCATACATACATATGTGTATAATAAATATATCTAAAATATTGCGTTGGCGGCTCCAATAGCTGAGCAGTTAATATTTCGTAGCAACATTCAGAAGGCCAGTGTTCGACTCTTAGTCTGAACTAACATCTAAGAATATAAACAATTAATTGTACTACTTGCGACCGCCGTTCGACAGAGAATGTCAAGCCCTCTGAGTGAGTTTTATATATGAAATAAAGTATGGTCAGCCGTTCAGAGGCGCTTGTAGGTCCCTCCATTTTTTCGAGAAACAGCAAGACGCATACCACAAATTAAAGGTGGAGCACGGCCGAAAATCGTTTCAGCGGTTACAAGGCGCCAAATTTATATATGTAAATATATGTATGCATATAATATATAAATAAATGTGTGTTTTTTTGCAACCACTGCCTCCGTAGTCAGTCGAAACAATTAAAACTGATTACACGTTCATAACAGTGAGAACCACAATCTGCATTCAGGCGCGAATTATTGGTGAATATCGGTTCGTCGCGGTTCGACATTACACACTGGAAGGGTCAATTTGTTTGACATCTTGACAGTCAATAACACCCATGACTGGCAATCTAACTTGCAAAGACAATACTCATTGCGTATTTAATTAGCTTTTTTATTTATTTATTTTTCTTTTCTTTAATTTAATTTTATTGTGTTTATGTAATTTTTGTGATTAATTTTCTTTGCATTTGCTTGTTGCCATTTCGATCTCAACTGAATTGGAAATTGCTCATTTAGTAAAAAAAAGTAAGGGGTATGTACAAGAGACCATTGCCGAAATAAAACAAAGGATTGAAATTAAAATCCAGAATTCAAATGAAAAGAACTTTGAAATGTGATAAAATGGTAATTTATATGCTCTCATGATGTGTGTATGCCTAAGGTCGACTTCTAATACATTTTTAGTATACTCGCATATGTGCGCGTATACACTATTCAAATCAATTACTCAAATTTTCGCGTTAAACTATTGGAATAGAAAGATATTTCACTTAAAAGCGTCAAGCAGGTACATGGTAATAAATGCAGATACTTCATGTTGTTCTCAAATGCCGTAGTTTTCGCTTACGACGCTAAATGAAAACACCAAGTGGAGCCAATCCTCCCTCTACCTGATCCTTCCAACGGAGTGGATATCTCTATACTTCTCTTACGAAGCGACTTTGAACTCTATGTAAACTAAATATTCACCATGCGACTAATGTTGGAAAGACCCGTGAAGAGAGTATCCACACCTCTTCGTAGATTCGTAGATTCCTACAAGTCTATCATTAATGCTTCGTAGATTCCAAAGCAGCCTTCAATATCATGAAAAGTAGCTGCCTTTACACTGCTTTGTCTGAATTTGGTATCTCTACATAACTTATATGACTGTGTAAACGATAAGCAATTCCAAAAGGTCCGTCAGGATCGGTAATGCCCTCTACCAGCCGTTCGATACCAAATTAGATTTCATGCTAACTAGTTGACTTATCGTTTGATTTATTGCTGGCGTAAATAATAAGAGCTACAGAGCTGAAGAGGGAAAGCACAATCTTCTCTAAGAATGTATAGGGGCTGGCGTCAACAAACGCGCCGTGAGCTTTACTATTTTCAGACTGCATAAGGAAATGAGGCGCATGGGTGTGGTAGTCCATGAGGATAAGACAAAATAACTCTTGTCAACAAACAAACAGTTACCATATTTGCGAAACGTCTCCCACATCACTATTAACAGTCTTAACTTTGAGGTTGTAGATAATTCGGCAATTTTGGTACTAGTATTAACACCACCAACAAAGTCAGCCTAGTAATCCAACGCCGAATCACTCCAACTCCAACAGTTGCTACTTCGGCTGAATATGAAATTGAAAAGCAAATCCTTCTCTCTACAAGTCATTCATCATTCCCGCGCTGCTATATGGTGCGAGCAACATTTGATGAGTCGGTGTTATGAGTTTTCGAAATAAAGGTTATGTGTAGGATTTATCTTACTTTGAGTTTAGGCCACTTCGAATACCGCAGAGGAAAAGGAAAATCTCCACTCTGTTGTATATATCAGGTAGAGAAGGATTTGATTGATTGCACCAAACAGCGAAAAGAAGGAGTCGGGAGCGGACTGTTGTTTAAATCGGCTAGAATCGCGTAAGAGGTGTCTACGCTAGCAAAGGAGAAGAATTTAATATTTCCTACAAGTCTATCAATAATGCTTAACAACAGCATAATATTGAATCCAGGAAAAGTTTTTTTTTTAATGAGGGTATCACTTAAAAGTGAGGATACAAGAAGTAGGCTTCCCGCATCTATACTTATTTGGTTGCTCATAAAAACATCAAATGGAAAAAATTTACAAACAAAATATTTCTAGTATTGAGGACGAAATGAAGATGAATTCATCATCAAACACAGAGCAGTGTGGACAGATAACTTTAAAACTTCGATTCTGGGAATCTCAATGTGGTTTATACAATGCACTATAGCACTGACATTAAAATTGCTATGTAGTCCAACTTCGAATCAGTGCTATCAAAAACTTTTACTTTGCTTTGGGTACCTAAAGAAATCGAAAACGAAAACTGCACTGAATAATTGTGTCAAACGCTTGGGCGATAACAGTTTAATACGAGATGGTTGAGGGATTGTTTTTCAATGTCTGTTGTAAAATTGTGTACTAGAGATGTTTGGCATTTGTTTTTATTAGTTGTTTATGTATAGTGTTATTAACATTAACATAATTGAAACAAAAATTTAAACAAAAATTGAAACGAAAATTGAAATTGTAATCGATTTTTGTTTATCGGAAGAAACTATTTTATAGTTAATTCTTAGCTTTAATGACGATTTCATGAAACTAACCCCGTAATTAAATAGTAATGGAAAAAAATAAATATATTTGAAAATTCAAAATCGGGTTCGTGGATTTTAGAGCTTCAAAAAAAAAATCGATTTTTTTCACTATCTTATAAAGTACTGCAATATTTCGAGAATTTTATTATAAATTTTCAAGTCGTTACGAATAAAACTTTCGGACATACTGTCTTCGGAAGGCGCGCCCTCAAACTCTAGTAGGTAGGTAGGCTTAGCGCTTTAAATACGCTTTTTACAAAACTATGTTTTCAAGGTCGCTTGACAAAAGTTCTCAAAAACTATTAAGCGAGGAGCACGCGGGATTTTTTCTTTCAGACACAACCAATTAAAAAGACATTTTTTAAACAAATTTTAACAAAACTTGAATTTTTTTAGTAAAAAAATCGGCCAGAAATCAAGTTTTCACTTTTTTCCTGTGTCTAAATTCTAGTTTTCATCATTAACTAAAACACGATTCCTTCACTTCGAATGCTCCTGTCGAGAGTTCTATTACCAATGCAGCCAGAAATTGACAGCTGCTTTCTACTGTGAATGAAAAACAATCTAAACTCACAGCTCATTCTAGAGTTTAAACGAAAAAACTTTTTTAATTGAAGGCGTAAAAACAAAACTTATATAAGTATTTTAGCATTTTCGATATTTTCTAAACTAAAACCAAGTGGCAAACAAAAAAATCAGGACGAACGTTAAAGCATAAAAAAAGCTGATTCAATTTTTAACTGGCAGCCCATTACAGATAAATATTTTTTATAACGATTCCGAGGTGTTCATGACACTTTTAATATGAAATATTAATATATTTGTAGTTAGTTTATTTGTGTTTATTTTGTTTTTTGTTTTTTTTTTTATACTCACCGCGGCGGCCAAAACATTAGCCGATTGTCGTTGTAGCGTTAACTTGCCGCGCACAATCCAACCGGAAGTCGGCGGAGCCGGATGTTCATCTTCTTGTGGTGCCTTTGCACCCACTGCAACCGTACCGACATACTCATACTCATATTGGCGGTGCAATGCGATAATATGAAAAGCGCTTACGCTCGCACTGAGAAAGGCCAACAATAAGACTAGCGAAGATATTGGATTTTGAGAGATTAGCGGGCATTAAAATGTGTATAGAAATTTAAATTTGCCATATATATATGTATATGTATGTATTGTTGAGTATGTGCTTGTAACAAAATTATAAAATCAATTGTTTTGGCAAGTTTTAGTTAAATAAAATTAATTGAGAAAAATTTGTTTAAGTAAGTATATTTTCCTTACATATGTACATCTATAATTCACAAATACCCAAAGATAGACACATACATAGGTACAATACATAAGTGTATGAATTATAGAAATTTTTAAAACAATTATATTTCACTTTCACAATTGCTTTCGATTCGATGACTTGATGGGCAGTATGAAAAAAATGATTGTTATATATATGTATGTATGTGGATGTTTATAAATTGTAAGAAAATTACGTCATCGTTTTGATTAGAAGTTTAAAATATATACACAAATAAGATTAAATTTCAATAAAAACATCATTGTATACATAGTACAATACATACATATAATACATATTTTGTATGTATATATATTAACGTTGCAAGGATTTTTGTTACTTGTGTATTATGAATATTGGAGATAAAAATTGAATTTTCTACGTACATAATAAGAACGAGCACCTGTTGCGCTTCATTGCGAAGAAAGTATAATCCTTATAATTTGCTTATTGCTTTCTTTTGTTTTTATGATGTTTTAAAATCACTCTTTAATATATTTTGAAATTTTTATTTTTTAACAATTAGATTTATTCGGCACACAATTCACTGCTGAGGGTTTACATTTAATATATGTATATGTATGTATGGAGTACTCAGGCCATTCATTGATACTTTGCACTTATGTATGTATGTGCATACATATATAAACAAACGGAATATATAAATTTGGATTTGAATAATTTTCGGGCTGATAATTCAAGTATTGTGTATATCAAAAAATTTTTTTTTATTATGTTTAACTAAATTTATATATGTATGTATTGTATGTAAATTATTTAACTTTAGCATACATATATGAAATCATATGCACAAAATGTAAGCGTATTTATATTGTAGCGAAATCGGTTTTGATCGGTTTCTTTATAAAATTTCGAAATTTTCACTATACACTACATCCATATCCGGTTTTTCTTTTTTTTTCTTTTGAAAATAAATATTATATGTACATCTATATTTAAGACCGCACACACCGACACAGAGATATACTATGTACATATACACTAAAGTCGTCCGGAAACTCAACTCGAAATATTCACAATGTCCTTGCCTTAGGGAAACTATGCTTGTTGGATAATAAGTTTCGTACGCGACGCGTTCAAAACCCGTACTAAAGCGCTGCTTGACCGCAAGCTAGGAAGTAAGGGTGCTCGACTTGAATGTTCGGCATATTTTTTTTTATGTGTTTCACTTTCGTAGATAAGACTCTATAGGAGAAATGTGCATACGAACACAAGACGCGTATTCACACATACATATGTATGTGTATGTATAATGTTTATGAAAACAGTGTAACAACTACGTTTTCAAATAAGTGAAAAAAATTTTAAATTTATTTATTTTTATTTATTTACTTTTTCCTTCTTACCTTCTTCAGCGTTTTTTTTTTGGGGACCATTTCGTTTGTTGTCTTGTATTGTAATGATGATTCTAAAATATACATACGTAATTATTTAAATTTTTTATGAAATTTATATGGATATATATATATATATATATGGATATATATATAATTCACGATTTGTAACTGCTGAAGCGACTTTTTTCCAAAAAATGAATGGACCTACAGCTTATACTAAACCGCCTCCGAACGGCCCATGGATTTTTATGAGAAACTCTTATTTCACGTCCGAAATATACTCGATGGGTTGGACATTTCCTGCCGAGCGGCGTTCGTACTTATACAAATTATTTTTCTTTAATTTTAGATGTTGATCGAATCATTATTATTTTTTTAATGAAATTTATTTAATAATAATAACAAAGCATTATTAGAATAAGATTCCCATATCTTTTTTAGTACAACAGAGATTCACACTATCTATATCTATATCTATATCTATATCTATATCTATAAGAAAATATTACTTTACAGATACATTAAAAAAAATAATAATAATATATAATGAACTGAGTATGACAAAAATTTAAACAATTATTCCAACCCTGACCTACCGAATGGCAGTACACAATGCAAACACTCAGCAATTGCGGTCCTTAAAAATAGAGAAAAATTTAAGAAAATTTTTTAAGTAAAAACTCCTAATCATTAAAAAATTGAACTCAACTTACTAAATTAATACAGTCACGTAAGCACTGCACGACCAATTGTTGGTCCTGTTGACTAGGCACATGCGGCTGGCATCTTATACAAGCTGAACGGACATTAGATTAGATATCTCGGAACTTCGTAGTCCAAAGGACTAGATTAGACTTCAGAATTGAATATTAAAACTATCAGACGACTACCAGAGGGCGTAATAAAACGGACGTTTATCTGGCAGAACAAAGACGAATCAGCCGGACAGTTTAAATTAATAAAATTTTTACTTTATAAATAGACAAAAGTGCTTTAACTGAATAAAATATGAAAGAAATAAAACAAAACTACCAAAAAGTTAAAGCGATAGGTATAGCGAATAGAGCTCGGAAAGATATCGGTCCCGCTATTTCCAGATGCTTTTGTACCAAAAATAAAATTTAATGCGTCCAGTTTCAGGTCTGTGTCTCTTACCATTTCTGAATAAATTAAAAATTACCTATAATAAATAAAAAAAGTCTTAGCATCTTGTGATTCAATTGATCTAAATACCTGATACGATTTAGGTTATAATAAATAGTAAGCAGCTGCCTGAAAAAAGAAGAGCTTTTTCGGTATATAAGATAATTAAGAAAATGAGATCATGATTACTTATTTTCCATAGAATTTCGTGAGCTTTGGAAACGTTGGGCCATATTACGACACATTAAACTCGGAATAAAAAAAGTTCATTTAATTATTTCAAGGTCTTTTTTTTGTCTTTTTTTATCATATATTAATACAGAAATCGAAAAAGGTCCGTATTTTTTATATCAAAGTAAAATTGTATATGAACACATGTCTACGAAAAATCACTTTCAAAATTGATTTCAGTATGGCAAAAATTTACAAAACTCCTTAACTGAATAAGAAATTTAAAAAAAAGGTTTATTATTGTGGTCATAATCTACTTTAAACTTGAGATTTCGAAAATGTTGTGTATAACCCGTTGCTTTATCAAATAATTTACGACCCGTTAGGCTCTTGCTTTTTCTAAAAGCTGCTTTTATAACCTAAAATATATGCAACATTCACAATCATCGAATCCCAGGAAACCAATAATATTTTTGTGACCTAAATACTTTGTAATTTACTTAGAGATAATGAAAGACAAAGAAATATCTTTTTGACACCAATAATTCCCGAAATAATGATGCCGATACCCTACTGGAGCCGATTAACCATGTTATCGTCATATTGCCATTATAAATTTATGAAATTATATGCAGGAATATCGTTTGAAGCACAAGTTTTTGCTTTTGATTTATGCAAGTAATTTTACAAAATATGTAAATATAATAATATACTTTGGTTCCTAAATTAGACAAATTGAGAACCTTTTCAATTCAATTTTGGCTTAGAGCAGGAAGAGTTTTCCAGTTGAGAACTGGCCGCCGTGGTAAATTTTTTTGTAATTGTGACAGGAGATGTCAATTCCTCCAAGTGTATTTCTGACGAGAAATGAGATCTGCCTATAAAAATCCAACGTCGGTTCGGAGGCAGCGTCGAAAAAACTGAAGGTTTCGAAATTTATTTTTAGAAAAATATGAAAATATGAAAAAAAACATCGCCACAAATTGGAAGCGGACCTCAGCAGTTGCAAAGTGCCAGTAATAAGAACTGATTCAATACTAGTATTACGCTGGCTGGTCTGATCGTACTAATATTTTAAAAAATTTGCATATACTGGCATTTAACCAGCATGAAAATGAGACTTTGTTACAATTAACAGTTGTCAAATTGAAAAAAATAGATGGAGGAAAAAATAATTGTTGTGAAAATGCAAAGAAGAAGACACCGGGAGGCACTTACAATACAATCTATTCTGTGTTACCTCTGAACGGCCGCTGGATATTTATGAGAAATTTTTATTTCGTCTCAGAAATACACTCGGAGGGCATCGCATTTCCTGCCGAGGCGCGACCGTAATTAGAAAAATCAATTGTCTGTAATTTTAGATGTCGGTCAAACCAGCACTCGCAATGTACACCACTCGGTCGATAACAAATATGCTTCGACAATTATTATAGGAGGCGTTATGGCTCAGCAAATGATTGATATACGTGTAGGCATATTCATTTTAAATAAAAATAAAAATAAAAAAAAATTAATTAATCAATTCTATAGGCTTGTCATCATCCTCTGGCTGAAAAATTTGAATAGCAGGAAAACTAAAATTCACCACTGTAAAATATTTGTGAGAATCATTTGAAGAAATTGTTGGCGGTACGACAAGTAAGATGCACACAAACACATACAGATGCTTGTATTCGTATGTGATACCTACAAGGAGATTATGACATTTATGAATGAATGATATGCAAAACCATGTGCATGTATTTTTATATACATACATATAATATATATAATATATATGAACATTGCAATATACATATATAATTTGTGAGTTTTACACAATATCAGTGAATAGATTGATGGCTGCTCATTTGTATGTTTGTATGCATGTATTGAGGAAAATTCGTACAACTCCATTGAAATTCCTTCATAACCCTATAGTAACATAAATTTCGTTTTAAAATTATAAAGGGAATACGGAAATGGTAATTTTTCTTAGCAAGCCTTGGGCTAATTGACAAAATTATCAAGTTCTGCTGTCCTTAACTAAAATGAAAATTAATTACAAAATTATAATTTAAAAAATTTTCAAATTAAATGTATTGTAAATATGTACACATAATTACGTAGTTGACAGTGAGTTTTTATATTTTTTTCTTTTAGCGATTTTCTATCCGAAGTCAATATTCTATTCTATGAAAATTTTGTTTATGACTATATTATGTTATTTAATGAATAAAGGATGAAAAAACAGGAAACGCAACAATAACAATCATGGACTATTTGTTGTTTTTTTTTTTTGCATTTGCTTTAGCAAAAATCTTAGCCCTACTACAATTTGCTAGATGGTACATTCTCATATACTCGTATGCATGTATGTGTGCACGTCAGAATAAGTGGACATTTGACTTTAGCGCATCTTTTCGTTTAAAACAACCGCAATTCTAATTGTACTCATGGAGTACTGATTCTTATTATTTTTGCTCATTTTTATGCAACGCCATTGACCTCAGTTATAATCATAGCAACTTCAAATACATATGAACACACATATGAACGTATGTAGGTACAAGTAACCCAATAAGCAAAAAATTTAAATACAATCAAGCGGAACCTTTAAAATGAAGTTTTCACAAGCGGACTCTGTAGTCGAGTTTTCACCCAACGGCTCTAGAACGTGTAGGTATGGGCTTAGGGGCTCAAGAATTTACCCGTGGTAAGGCATGCCTGTCAGAAGAGGAGACTGACAGTCGGGTTTTTATGTTGGAAGGACCCGAATTTTTAAACGGCCAAGGATAAAAAACCATTTCTGAAAACCAATTCGTGGAATATTTTGCTATTACAACAACGACAAGAACAGCAGAACGTTTTCTAATATATTATTTACAAGCTTGGGTAATTTTATAAGTACTGTATTGTCTACAAACTAAAAAGAATTAATGGAAAATTGTAGAAACGCTAAATATTTAACATTGTAGGCCTTACTGGCACCCCAATTGGATAATTGAGTAAAATGGGGTTTGCTACCAATGGGTGACCTGATAACTAAGGGTTGTTCCCTTCTATTATAGTTGGGCTTAAAAAACTTTGACATGAAACAGAGCTTATTATCGGGTATCATCATCGAACTAACTTCACTCAGTCATTACTGTAGTTGTTATCGATAATTATTGAAACTTTTTTTGTAACTGTTAGTCTTTAACGTTTGCTTGTTCTTATAATCATAGCATTTAAATTCAAAAATTATTTTGGTGGTGTGTTTCAGATAAGACCGAACTGACGTAAATGTAAATAATTTTCACATTTGATTTACCCAGAAATGACAAACTGCAATCAGTTTATCGATAAATTGTCGACGTCGTGCTAATGCGTTTAGTCAATGTCGATTCTTCGCATATCGGCTGCTATTAAATTTTTGTTCCGGCTAATGCGTGATGAATATCTGGTTTTATGTTTCATACTTTGAAATCATAACCGTTATTACTCGGAGCCTCATATACTGAACGATGTAGAAATTTATTCGAACCATAATACTACTAACTATCGTCAAAAAATCACCATAAAATTAATGCAACTAAGGAAAATGTTAGGTAAATTAAATTTAAAATCCACCAGTCACTCGTTTTGTGGCTTAAAGAGTTCTTAAGTGTTTGTACCAAGCTTTAGGATACATCCCAATCGAAAATCGCTTATGCGGCAATGAAGAAAAAATCACATATTTATTTATATACATAAGCATAATTTTTCATTGATTTTCTTTTATTGCTATAAAATAGCATACTAATATATATTTCAAAAATGTTCCTTTGTACAAACCACAAAAGTGTATTGCACCAAGTGCACACAGTTGAATTTTACATTCCATTACACCATTCATAACATTTCTACATATAAACAAGCATTTACCACATTGTTAAAGGATACATAAAAAAATGATGCAAATAATTTAATAATGTATAAAGGTATACAAGTTTTTGTAGATTTCGTAATTTGCTTTGCATTCTTAACGCGCACCACCATGAGCATGACCGGCGCGGAGGACGGCTCCTGCTACAACAGAACCGCTACCCCCAACGGCATCACTAGCTCTTTCAGTACCATTCGCTGCTTTTGCATCGTCACTTTCGTCGCTCTCTTTATTACCCTCTAAGTTCTTTAGCTGTTGCATCCACATCTCAGCGTATATGCCATCTTTGCGTTGCAAAAGATCGTCGTGCCTTCCGCGCTCAGCAATTGTGCCATCTTTTATTACGAGTATTTCATCGGCATTTATAATTGTCGAAAGACGATGTGCAATCACAATTGTAGTTCGATTGGAGCAAACACGTGCTAAGGCCGCTTGTATATTCCGTTCAGTGTTGGTGTCCAGTGCTGATGTAGCCTCATCGAGCAACACCAAGACCGGCGCCTTTAGCAAGGTACGTGCAATAGCGACACGCTGTTTTTCGCCACCGCTCAAACGTAAACCTCGTTCGCCCACTTTCGTCTCATAGCGGTCGGGGAAACCTAGGATCCGATCATGTATATCAGCTAAACGTGCCGCCTCGTAAACTTCATCAGCGCGTGCGCCAATTTTTCCGTATTCTATATTGTAAAATATGGTGTTGTTGAAGAGCACTGTGTCCTGCGGTACGACGCCTGTGGATGAAATTAGTGTTACCAAAAAAAAAAAATATAAAAAAAAAAATTGCCATCTACTCAACTCACCAATTGCCTTTCTCAAACTTTGTTGTTGTACCAATTTGATATTTTGACCATCAATTAGCACGGCCCCCGACTGTACATCGTAGAATCGGAAGAGCAAACGAACGATTGTGCTCTTACCCGCACCGGATGGACCAACAATTGCGACCGTTTTACCGGGCGGTACGCTAAAGCTCACATTACGTAGTACTATCTTTTCGGGTGTATAGCCAAATGTAACATTAGAGAATTCAATACCTGCACCTGCGGTTATAAGTGGCGCAGCGCCAGGCGCATCGAAAATCTCCTGATCCTCCTTCAACAAATCGAACATATTCTCCATATCGACGAAGTTCTTTTGAATAGCACGATAGTACGTACCAAACCAATTAAGCGGCATATACAGATCCATGAGGTAAGTAAAGAAAAGTACGAAATCACCAACAGTTAAAGTCTGATGATGTGCAACTAGATAAACACAGAGCATCGAGCCACAGAGTAAGCCTAGACACAGTATAATATTTTGAGAGGTGTTGAGTAAGTTGAGTGTAAGCATGGAGAGGAATTCTTCTTTCTGAAAGAATGGGATATTTTATATATACAAGTGAAAATGAAGAGTTTAAAATTGAAATGTGCAAACCTGATAATTTATTATCGCTTTACGATATTCATCAACTTCATACTGCTCGGCGCCGTAATATTTGACAGTTTCAAAATTTAACAGTGAGTCAACACTACGTGCGCGTTGTGCATTATCGGCTAAATTCATGCGGCGTTGATATTTTGTTCGCCATTCGGTAACGAGAATTGTAGCCACTGGAAATGAATATAGCAAGGCTTCCGTTGTACTACATATACCATACCATATGAGTTAATTAGTTTGTCTACAACAATACTTACAAATATACAGGAACATAGTAAGGAACACAATCAGACCAAACCACCAATTGAATGCGTAGATAAAAAATACCACAGCGACAAGCAAATCGATGATAGTAGGCGTAATGGAAAATATGATATAATTTAATAAATTATTAATGGAGTCAGTGCCTCGATCCATGACACGCAATACTTCGCCCGTTTTGCGTTGCAAATGCCAACGCAATGACAATTGATGTAAATGGTTAAATAAATCCACTTCTATTTCACGAGTAGTATACTGCTGTACACGTATCCACAGGAAGGAGCGTAAATTGTTAAAAAGGCCCATAGTGCCTGTGCCGCCACCTTGCACAAATGACAAAGCTACGTAGATAAGTACGAAATCCCAGCGGAAGATTATTGGTGCTATGGTGAGACTATCAACTGTAACGAAAAGATTTTAAACCGTTAATTTAAGAACATAAATTACTTTTTATTCTTCTTTTTTGCTCAATCACTTACCCAATTTTTTGCGGTAAATTGGCAGAAACAACTTAATAACACGACCAGATATTAGTAGTAGTATACAAGTAATAACACTTAATTGTAATAAAACATCCTTTTTCGGCCACATATAGGGAAACAGTTTAGCCAGTTTCTTGAAGGCATTACGAAAAGCTGAACCTTGCTGAATATTGCTCGTATTGCCATTGGTTGGTTCATCAAGTTGAACATAAGGGCGCATAATGCCGGGTGCTTTAAGCCCAAGGATGAATATTAAAAGTGAGGTTATAAAGCGCGTAACAAAGAGACCCATTTCAATTTGATCTTTATTGCTGTAAATAAATATTTTAATGTTAATATAATTATACTTATATACATATAATATATAAATGTATATATATACATATATATTATAATGTTACTGCTAATTCATATACTGACGTTTTTAGTGTGAACCACCAGTCTTCATGTCTCAAATTTATAAAAGCTAACGATTCATTAATAAAGCCCAACGTCCAAAATAGTAGTAATATAAGGCCATGGCCACGCGTCGGTAGCGATGGCAGCTGATAGAAACGCTCTTTTATTATTACACAAACGGAGAAAGGATAGGATATGCAAATAAGCACAGTTGAGAGTATCTAAAATTTAGGATTATACAATACAATATAAATTAATATTGAAGAATATTCCATGTACATAATACTTACCATATAACCATAGACCGCATGATCGTTGTATATGCGCGCATTTAGGAAAAATCGAATCAATGCCAAAATAGGAAAGAAGAATAATAAGAAGAGCTGTAATGCGTATAAGCGTGATTTGGTAATATGCGTTGGATCATTGCGTGTTGCGTATTTTCGATACATCAGTAGTTGCACTGTACCCATAAGCAGCATAAAACCACTTGCCACTGTGTTTCCGATGGTATCCATAAAACAATGAGAAATGCCATTGTTTATCCAAACTTGGGAGAAGGTTACATTTGGCGGACAGTAAAGCATTTTGATAAATGTTGTTCGCTTTTTCTTTTGGTTAAAGAGTCTGAAATAGAAATAACAGAATAAGTATATTAAGATAATTAAATATCTATAAATGTCGGATTTTAAAATTGGTCAGCAAGGACGTTACTACTTATAACAGCGACCTTTGTGTTATCTTGAAACCAATGAGTGATAGCTACACAATGTATTGACAGCCGTCAAACTGATGAGTACTGTGCTAGTTTTTCTGTTTAGCAGTGAGTGAATTACTCCAAATGTAAAATTACAATGTATGATTTATTTATAATTTTTTTTTGTATATCAGAGATCACCTAAATTGGATCAAATGCGATAAGAGGCATTACATATATATCTATATTTATTTATTATTTGGCTACTGAATTTTACAATATAGTTACATTAATTTCATAATTCTTATTATGTCTGATTAAGTTGAATGGACAAACATACGCTGGCATTGTTTTCGTTCTGGGAAGCAATAAAAATTAAAATGAGTTTAATATAAAAAAAAAACGTTTCTAAGTTTGCATTTTAGATAAGATGGAAAGGGGCGTAACAATTGGCAGTTTATATAAAATATATTATACCTTCTAATTTATTACTGCCTCGTTGTTTCACTGTGCATATGTACGCTGGCACTGGTCAGAAGATAACATGAGATATGCATTCATGTATGTATATCCACTGCTCCCTTTAAACACTATCACCACAACTACGTTAAAAAGAAAACAATAAAGACATTATATTTAATTATGCAATTTTTGTATTTACGCACTTTTAATTTTCGTATTTGGAATGACTTTCAATTCCTCGGCGACAACATTAAGATAAGTTTTTATGCACTTCTTTTTGTCCCAATAATTAGTTATTTTGGTTATTTTTAACGTATGTTATATATTAAAAACTGCAATAAGTAATGTTTTAAACTAATTTAATACATAATTTTGACAAAATAAACGATTGGAAAACATTTCCCGTAAACAAAATTGCGATTGTTTAATTGCTGACACAGCTGATGAAAGTCAGTTGTCAAATGCAGAAAATAGGAATGGTATGCTGAAATATCGATTAAAAAATTTCAATCCTTGAATTTTTGTTATATCAAACAAAACCGTTAAAAAAAATTCGAACACTTTTTTTTCTTAACAAATGCACTCAAAAAGGGTCATAATTTTCAGAGAGCTGATTATTTTATAAATTTCGTCCCACTATACTTTTCGATTACAAGTTGATCGATTTGCATTGAGCTATGATTCCAATGCTTTTTAAAAATCTGAGTAACCCGTTGCTTTTCCATGACGGAAAAGGAAACAGTTTTATTCAGTTTTGTGTATCGTTTTAAATATTTCTTTATTTTAATGAATTTAACGCTCTGAACTAATTTAAACAGTGATACTATAAAAAATTCTATTTGTAGAGAAATGTTTGAAATATTTTTCAGTGTGAAGTGTTCATGTAATCGCAAACAAAGTGTCAAATCATAATTTTCAAAACGAAAGGTGCATTGAAACCATTTTCTTTAATATCTTATAGAAAAAGTGCGAGTAAATATCCGAGTGGCATGCATTGTGTACTACTAATCGGTTGGCCAAGGGATCGTGCACTCCGAGTGTATTTCTGTCATAAATTTGAAGCTCCTCATAAAAATCCATCGCCCGTTCGGTGGCGACTTAGATAGAATTAACTGTAGGTTACGAAGCGCCAAACACAAATAACAAGAACTATGATTATAAAAATGTATTTACGAAATACTAACAGGAGTTTAAAAATTAAAAAGCACATGATACCAATCAGCGAATATTGCATTTATCCGACATCACTTTCCTTGAGGTATTTCGAGTTGAGTCTCAGTGCTATAAATCGTTTATAATCGTTGTGTAAATGTAGTGATTACGAATAAGAAGTATTGATTCTTTCTGTTTTTTTTGTGAGGAGAAATATTTCGAAAACTTAATGTGTTCCATTAGAAATGCATTCAGACTTCTTATTGTGGCATTGACAGTTATGTGCAAGCAGCTTGAACAACAATAAAATCGTGCAACTTTTTTGCGCTTCATGAACATTTTTAAGTATAAAAGGGCTGCCCTATTTTTGCATACAGAAAGGTAAGAAAAACTTTTAAAATTGAATTGGGTAAGCTATTTCGGAAATATCATCTTTGGAATTATTTAAAAACATGACGACAAATCCATTACACAAATTGTTAAGCCATGTAAATGAATAGACACAACATAATACTTCTGAAAATATTCATTTCATTAACTATTTATTTACAATATTTAATATAATTTACGTTATATTAAAACTGCTTCTAATTATTCTACACGATAATTAAGTATAAAAATAAATACAACTTAAAATGTAATTATCTATATTTAACACATATATATAAGTATTTGTTAAAGTTATTGAGAACAGCCACTGGATAAATATTAAAAATACACATATGTTTTTAAAATTCAAATATTTTCTACATGGAACAAAGCAAATTTAACTTAGAAACTATTTTTGATGACCGATTTAAAGATATATTTTAATATAATTTTCTTTATACATAATTAAATTCATGTGTTATTTATATATATGTATATAAATACAACTATTACAACAATCGCTACAGCAACCATAATCTGAAATCTGAAAATATGTTATTTGTTTTAAAATCATTGTATGAAAGAGCAATTTTCAAAACCCATTCTACTTGTAATATATATATATATATATTTATAAGTTTTAAAACGTACTGAGTCCAAGTATCATAGTATTTGCTAATTTTTAATTGGATCACATTTTAATATATCTATATTTAGTTCAAATATTTAACAATAATTTATTCTCACATGGCGGATAAATAAAAATAATTTTCAAAGCAAAAGTGGTTTTCTCACTCAATCAATGAGATTATTTCATTAAAAATACTTTGATTTTGCGATTATTGGCTAAATAATGATCATTTGTATATTTTAATTTACAACACATTCAATAGAGACAAACATTCAGACAAGATGCAGTTTTTCATTTTGATTGTTATCGATTACACAAACAACTCTGACTTATTATTTTGGGAAATTTCAAATAGCTACTTAGCGGAGATACCTTACAATACAAATTCATGTACGTCTTTCATACGTAAAAATAAGTTCCTTCTCTTATTTCTACGCTAATTAAATACCTTCTTAAATAAAGTTTTATTTCAATTTAGTAGTTGATTTTGCCCAACAGCGGCTGCGCTACGCCATCCACTACAGGGGCTGCTGCCGTTACCGCAGCACCTACACCGCCCACCACTATATTTGCACCGCTGCCACCCCCTGTTCCAAGAAGGTAGTCTTTTTGCGGCACACTTTTCCCAATAAGATGTAGATTTTTTGCATTATTTGCTTTAACAATGTTACTGTAGCTATTATTGTTGCTGTTGCTTATACTGTATAGACTATTATCACCAGTAGAACTAATATCGCCTACACCGCCACCATCACTGCCACCATCACTGACACCGCCACCTCCTCCACAACCATTTCTCTTTGCCGCCTCATTACTGGCCGTGTCAGCTACCAACAAATGTGCTTTACTGCTGTTCAAGTGATTGCTTAACGCCGCCAGGTCATCATCGTCGTCCACATCACTGTAAGGATTACACCTTGCTGAAGCGTCATCTTCTAATGAATGCCGTGTTAGAAGTTGCGCTGTAGCATTTGAATTAACCATGCCATTTGTTGGAGCTTCATCTTGGTCTTGATCCTCGCTGGTTATTTGAAATTTGATCCGTTGACCACTCTGTATACTGTTAGTGTCGGCACGTTCATGTGATACCAATGTTGAAATGGTCGGTGATGGCTTTAGGCGTGAGCGTGTCACCGCAGAAACTGTGGGTTGTAATACACCACTCAGATTTGAATTCGAGTTGGATTGCAGGAGTTGAGTAAAACTGTTGCGATGGTGATTTGCAAGATTGTTGTTGTGATTTTTGAGTGTGCCAGATAATGGTAGCCGTAAATTGGCTAATTCATTATTACTCTCTTTACGGGGCTCACGCAGGGAGCGACTACCGCAGATGTCTCCGTTGAGACCGGGTGACTTAGAAATGGACAGAAAGTGATTATCTTTGCTATTTTGCTTCGAATTGTCAAGATAGTAATTGAAGTCTTCGGGTTTAAATTCGTTGCCATTTAATTTTGGAGAAGACGATGAAATTTTCCGTTTCACACGCAGCGTTGGCGTACCTTTAATATCATTCTGTACCGCTATCGGCGTTGGTGAAGTTGGCATGGTTTCTGAGATCTCTGATTGTTGCTTTTGCAACATGACGCTATAACGTTGAGGCGGGTGTTTTAACGATGATCGACGGGAGAGCAGCATTTGTTGCGAGGGCATCGAAGGAGATTCCGGTTTTGACATCTCGCCCTCCAACCAATAGGTGAGCATTTCTCCCTTACCCTTCATAGGCACATAGCCACGTTGAGTGGTTATGAAAGTGCCAAAATCATCTAACGCTAGTTTTGTGTTCTCACTAATGTGTATGCGTAGCGCCTCACCATTCGACTCCATACGTGACGCTGTATTTACTGTGTCCCCAAAGAGGCAATAACGTGGCATCTTGAGACCAACAACACCCGCCACACACGCGCCAGTATGCAGGCCAATGCGCAGTTTCAGTTGATCCTGCGGCCGGTGATGTATACGAAATTTATGCACAGCGCCGAGTAAGGCCAAAGCTAGACGAGCTATTTCGCGCGCATGTTGGTTTCCATTGCGTATTGGCAGGCCGGAGACAACCATATAGGCATCGCCAATTGTTTCCACTTTGTAGACATCGAAGTTCTCAACAATTGAGTCGAAACAGGTGTAGAGATCATTGAGGAATTGCACCACCTGCAGGGGTGTGCTCTCTGCGGAGATGGCGGTAAAGCCGACTATATCACTAAAGTAAATGGTGACCTGATCGAAGGTCTCGGCCACAACAGGTTGACCGCTGATTAGCTGTGCTGCTACACTCTGCGGCAGCAGTTGATACAACAGCTTTTCACATTTCTTCTTCTCTTCAATATAGTCTTGCGTACGCTCTTCGACGAGCTCTTCCAGATTATTGGCGTAAAGCTCCATGCGTTTGAGTAAATTATCGACGATGTTGCCCGTTTCGTTGTCTCTATTTGTAAAACATTGAAATTCAGATTTATCACTATCTTGTATAACGGTATTTTATCATTGTACTCACTTATTTATGCGCCGTATTATTGATTTCAGTGCATTAAAGTCTGGCCGTTCCAAAGGATCCTCGGCCCAACACTTGATCATGAGGTTATTTATATCAAGGTAACCATCAAGATTGTCGATAAATGGACGAAACGGTGCAGATATTTGTTCTGGATAACTTTTGACTAGTTGAATAATTTCTGTAAAGAGAAAGTGAAGCAAAATTATAATCAGAATCTAAAGTTGGTGGAAGTAAAGAAACTCAAAGTATGTGAGGAATTTTAAAAAAGCATCAGTTTGTGCTAACATACGCAGGCATATGGGTTCAACTGATAAGACTAATATCTGTTTTTATAGAAATTTTTTATTCAAGAGTGGTGGCTTTTCGGTAAGGAATGTCTACATCTTCGAGTGTATTTCCGACATGAAATTTCTCAGCCGAAAAATTCGGCCGTTCGGAGGCAGCTTAAAACTATAGGACCATTCATTTGTTGCAACATGAAAATGTACGAAATAAATTGGTGAATGAATTCGTTCATTTATATATATGTAACTTTTAAGTAAACCTCAGTTCAGTTAGATTGCCCATAAATAAGTATTCAAATAATACTCGTCTAATTAGTCCAAGTATGGATGGATCATTTTTGGTACGTTTAGACCACAAATCAGTAAATCGAATCTTTATTGAAGTGAGTTCTTATTTAGATAAAGACTTGAAATTTAATTGATGCAGCCCAGAATGTGCTTCAATTGTATTCTGACGGTCAGAGAATCTTATACTGACGACCGAACGGCCTTCCCTCGTTTTCATCTCTGACTGGAAAATAACAGCTTCTCATAAATATCACGAAACATTTCGGAAATATTTCAAGGCGGAAATTAGAAATTCAATTGAAAACTCTACTAATAATAGCTCAAGAACAGAGAGAATCTTCTTCACCATTATCGTGGGCACCGCTTACACGTTTATAGCCGAATCAACAATGGTCCACCCTTCGTTCCTTCTGGTCGTGGTTCGAAAAACTTTCGATTCGATAACTCTCAAGGCCGCTTCATCGGATGTCGACATAGTCCACGTTTCTGCACTATATAGTAGGACGGTAAGAATGAGGTTGCGTAGGATTGGGGACCCACCACATGAACAAGTTACTTCTATAAGAAATTGAACTTCGAGACTTTGCTTTATCGCCTCTTTATATTTTCGAAAACATTGTTGCATTATTGATTTGAATGAAATTTACTGTCAGTTGTCGTTTTGAGATAAAAAAGAAATGAAATAAAATTATACAGTCTACATTTATTTGAGAATCTTTTCTAATCGTGAGATAAGCACACACAGAAAATGTTGCTCTCTCTGTGCTAATTATACGAATGTCTATACAAATTGGGCACGCCTTAAAACTGGAAGTGTATTTAAGAAGCGGAGACTGCGGGGTGAAAAAACGTTGTTCTTGCAGGCTCTGAAACGGAACAGATGAAATGTCAATATGCAAATTAGAAAAGATCAGTACTTCTAGTCAAAGTGAGGAGAAAGAAAGGGATGAAACTGTTGCTGTTAGCGCTGTAACGGTTAGCGATGCTTTCAAATCACCTCAGAGAAACACAAGCAGATCATCTTTGGGGTCAAGCGCAACGCAGTTTAAAGTTTCGAAAAACCATTTAGCTATACCCGAGTCCAAAGTTCTCAATGTATGCTCACTATGTGGAGAGCACGTTGAAGATAGCTTATTGGCAAATAAAGATGGATCGCTTTCCAGCACGGTTTCCGAAGCATCAGGAAAAAATATTAAGCAGCCAAAAGATTCAACAACAAATTTGTCACAGAGAAGCCATCATTTAGTAAATCATAGACCTACTGATACAAGACCGCCTTTTTTATACGAACAATATCCACTTAAACCTGCATTGCTATATGATAGTCCATTGAGCTACGTGCGTGATCCTTTAAATCGTTTAGACCAAATTGATTATTTCCCTCAAACCTCATTACACTCACTCATTTCGCTTTTGCCGATATGTCACTGCACCTCGGCGAATCTTCCATACGCCAATGCTTCTGATAACTCTCAGCATTTCAAATACGCACGACTTCATAGTGGAGAAGAGGAAGACAGGCGTGGGGAAGCTGTTTTCATTGCTGACGCGGCCTGGGAAACAAGAAAGGCATATGCGCCGGTGGATAAATCAGTGGAAAGTGTTTGTACGGCGTGTCGTCATCCTGCATTTATAGCGCCACGTGAACCACAATACTCACATCCCCTAGAAACGCACAGTACAAAGACAGCTATGATTCCTCAAGAGAGGAATAAATTAGACTTGCACAGGCAAGAAAATGTGGAATTGTCATTATTTTATAATAAAGATTACCGTCACAAGCAACCAATTGCAGAGGAAATACCACCGATTCAAGTGCGATCCAACGACAACAGTAAGCTTTCGCAAGTGGATTCTACTCGTAGAACTAATTGACCTTTGTTTTCTTAATACTTAGCACCATCCTTAAACTCTCACGATCTAGATTTTCATGATTCGGTACCAATATTCGAAGTATTGTCGCGAAACGATGTTGAGAATTACTCGAATGGGCTGGCTTTAAAACACAAAGATTCCTTTTTACTTTACGAGAAATTACGACAAAAGCGTAAACACTCTAAATTGGTAGTTGGTGAAGGTAAATCAAATTTCAGTTAGTTGATAGATTTTTAATTTGACAAAGTATTTTATGCATATACGAAACGCAGAACAACCACTCAATAAATCATCCGATGAGGTTATAGTTTTTGGCAGCGCTAAAGGTTTAAACTACAAGCTCCAATGTTGGGAAGAGTCACGTATTGATTGGTTGTCGGAACTCGAACGTCGTCACGAGGTACGCAAACGGCGGCAGAAGCGCATGGAGTATCGGAAACGGAAACAGCGTGCTTCAGAGGGCTATACTCGCCAGTGTTCTTGTATTTGTCAACGCATTCGTTCGTGGTTAGCTAAATGGTATACATGATGGAGAGAAAGAAAGACGTTCTGTAGTTATGATGGAATGAAATATAAAGAAAGGATAATCGAAAGCCAAACTATTGTAGATTAGTTTTGTTAGATTATCTAAATTTCAACAATGCGAGATTCTATTTTTTGAGAACTTCAATTCCCTTACAGTTTGAGCCAATAATGAAATATATATAGATATATATAGAGTGATTTTCGACCGACCATTTCAATTTGTGATGTGACCTATTGCATATTCTAAGGCGCGTTCGAAGGGTCGATGGATTTTGGATGTTATTCAAGCCAGGACTTAAACCCAGGGTCTTACGCCTAATGCTAATATCTCACCTACTGCGAGCGAAAGAAAGGATAAGGAAAGAACCTTAAAAACCCTTTTAGTGGTTGTTGTAGTTGTAATTATAGATTGGTTTTTCATAAAAGTTGCAGGAGTCACTGTACATGCCTCGATAAATATAATAAGAGTCAAACTTCGTGGGAACTTTTAGATTTTAAAGATGTTTTTGTGGCAGGCATGCCTTATCACAGTCAAATTCTTGAATCCCTAACCCACAGAGGACGAAATGAAAATTGGTTTCTCAGTGCTAGTGCTGTATGAGTAGCAGCGTAGGTCACTATATTGAGAGACTTGGGTCGAAAATCAAAAAGGATACAAAAAAAAGTATTTACTAAATGCGTTCGCCCCTTCAGCAGGAAAAAACTGATCAAGTAAACTTATCAGCCGTGCATACCGTTCTGTGACGACTTAAAACTGAATCTGCAGTTCAAAAAACTTCAAAGTGGACGCTGAAAATCGTAGGAGGTGCTCGGCGAAAAGTTGCTTCAGCAGTTATAGCCCCTTCTTAGCTGGGGCTTCTAAAGGAAATTAATAATGTTGGTCTAGTAAAAAGTAATCCATTATTTTTTCATTATTATTGAGGACTTTATTTATTTATTTATTTGTTAGAATTATATGATCTACATATGTATGTTAAATTTGCACCGTTTTGCTCGATAACTTTTTGAAATTTTGAAGGGAATACTCTTGGAGCTTCTGGCGAGTCACTATCGACGTGTGTGGCCAGAAATTGGCCTGATAGAGCGTTTTTTAAAACAAAATATCATCTTTCTAATGCAGTGTAGCATAACTCAATTACAATTATAGAACGCGATAAACAGAACACCAAAGTGATCAATTGCAAAAATAATGGATCACTTTTTACTAAGCCAATTATTAGAACCATAAAAGAAAGTAAGAAAAAAGTAGTAAATATTTAAGTATTGAAAACCCGAATCTGCGTCAATGAAGGAAAAAAAACATAAAAATATTTCAGTTGTTCATTACTAAAAAAAATGGAATAAAAAATAAAAAAAATAATAATTTTCGAAAATAATTAGACAAAATTATTTCGATTGCAATGAAAACATTCATTTCGACTTACTCCATGAAATCATAAGTTGTGCAATGTCAAAGGAACCGCTAACGAACCAAAGTGAAAACGGAAGGGATCGAAAATCGACCGAAAATACAACAGCACAACCCCTGTATACATTCTACCAACCACACTTGTGCCCACCGCCAACCGATTATATGTTTCTCGACGATAATCCCACAAATAGCATATCGTCAAATAATAACTCGTTGAAAAGAGCACAGCAACTTCAGGTTTCCTCAAAAATGGTACAAAATCAACATTCAAAGGCTCCTTTAGAACCAATTATGAGGGAACAAATATCTAATAAAGAAAAGCGTCAGCAGCAGTGTGAACCTTCGTGTACTGAATTCCATGAGCTCGGTGAAGAAATTTACAGATGCTCAGTGAATAGTAATGTCATGGAAGATATTGGAAAGTGCGAAACAGATGAAAAAGACTCCAATGAATCGGTGAAAAGTGCTGAGGCTCTCGTTTCAAACAAACTTGACGTTGTATGAAAGAACTTAAATTTTGATTGAGTGACAGTAAGTTTGGCTCAAGAAGGTAAAAATTTTAGTGCACTAAAAGGAAATATGGAAAACTAAATTTATAATCCGAGGAAAGAGAAGACAAGATTTGGTTGAGATAACTCAAAAACTGAGACAGACGGGCTTGCCTTAATCAATTCAGCTCACTGATCTGTCCGGCATAAATTTTGCTAGGTCTACCTTTGCTTCTTCTCATACCTACATGTTCCACTTCAAGTTCAGGTATACAAATAACCGCAATAGCTGTTAGCATTGTGTGCTGCCATTCGGTATACCAGGTTTCGAGTCCTGGTTCGACTAACAACTAAAATTTTACAAAATCAATTTTTCAAATTCCGGTTGATGCTCGGCAGGAAATTTCAGGCCTTACGAGTGCATTTCTGATTCATTTCATGTCCTCCTCACGAAAATCCTTCAGCCATACGTAGGCGGTTTGGAATAAACTGTACTTACCTCAATTTGTTGGGAAAACGACAAGATGCATACCACAAATTAGAGGGGAAACCGCACTATCTTGGTAGGCAATGGATTTTTACGACATCGCCAAGACAAGAGATGAAGTGGCCGGGAAATTTCTCTCGCAATAAAGCCAGTTTCGCTAGTGTTGTGAGGCAAGTGACACCATGTTCCTCAGTTTCAGGAGAAACGGTTATCATATATTCATAACGCTCTGATCAACAATGACACTCTCGCCGTTGTTTTCTCAAAAGTGTGAGGTCCAATTACTCCTCCAGACCAAAAAGTGCAAGAAAATAAGATTTTTTGGTTATAATGATCTCACTTCAATTATTAGAGGATCGGTGCTAATGAAATTTTTTCCTTTTAAAGTGGGAAACGTGGCCACGTATGAATCACAATTTGTATAGTTGGTTTTAACAATTAGAACACGTTATTAACAATCGCACAACACGACTCATTTTCATAAATGACTGACTTAGAACTAAAAGAAAACATGTTTTGTTTGACAGTTCAGTTTGACAGATGTCAAAATACAGTTCCTGGATAACCCTATATATATTGGATGAGTGCATAAGTTCGTGCCCGATTCCGCTGGATGCCGTTCGAATCGCTTGAGAGTGGCGCTCGTGAAAGAAATATATACATATTACAATATATATCGTTGGATAGGTAACAGTCCGAACTGTAAATTAAGCATAAAATAACTTCATTTTGATTTGAGTTGCTTAGTGCAAAGACGCATGGAAGATGGACAACGAAAAAGATCATATGCGTCATATTATGTTATACGAATTCCGCAAAGGAAAAACAGTAGGCGCTGCAACTAAAGATATTCGCGAAGTTTATTTGGACCGTGCTCCAGCACTCCGCCAAGTAAAGAAATGGTTCGCGAAATTTCGTTCTGGAGATTTTAACCTCGAAGATCAACTTCGCAGTGGACGGCCTTCTGAGCTTGATGACGATGTTCTAAGGAGTTGCGAATAACTCACGTATTTCGACGGAAGAGGTTGTCAGTGAATTGAACGTCAACAAATCAACTGCGTTTCGTCGTTTAAAAAAGGTTGGGCACACTTTGAAGCTCGATACATGGGTGCCACATCAGTTGAATGAAAAAAAACAAAGTGGGCCGTATGTCAACAGCAATTTCTTTGCTTCGACGGATCAAAAACGAACCTTTTTGGGATCGGCTCGTGACTGGTGATGAAGAATGGATCCTGTACAACAAAGTTCAACGCAAAGGAACATGGAAACAGGCACACGAAGGGGCGGAACCGATGTCGAAAGGTGGATTGCATCCGATGAAGGTACTGCTGTGCATTTGGTGGGATATCCGAGGCGTGATCTATTTTGAGCTCTTGCCAGCTGGAGAAACGATCACTGCCAATAAGTATTGTCAGCAATTGGTCGAATTGACGAAAGCAATTGATGAAAAACGTCCGATTTTGGCCAATCGCAAAGGAGTTCTTTTCCATCAAGACAACGCCAGGCCACATGTTGCAAAACCGACCCTGGCCAATGTGAAGGAGATGAATTGGGAAATCATGCCGCATCCCCCATATTCACCCGACATTGCACCTTCTGATTATCATTTGTTTCGATCGCTGCAGAACAATTTGAATGGAAAAAAATTTAAAAATGTGGAAGACGTTAAAAACCACCTTGACACCTTTTTCAACGAGAAACCGCGCGATTTCTATGAATCAGGCATCCGTAAATTGGTCGAACGTTGGGAGTGGATTGCCGAACATGATGGCGAATACATAATTGATTAATAAAAGCGCTTTCTTAAAAAAATTTCAATTTTAGTTTGCACTTGAAAACGGGCACGAACTTATGCATCCATCATATAACATATACAAATAACTTAAGATTATTAACACGATCTTTCATAGTTAGACCACGTAACAATATACATAGAATCCGTATTAAGCCTTGCATATTTCACTACGAGTTTTAGTCAGAAGAATTCTGTAATATACAAGTATTACGCCGCCGGAGCAGAATCTAATGAAAACGAGCATTCTTCAAAATCTACCAGCGCTTTTCATAGTCTCAAATATAATATGATAATAGTAAGAGAGCGCATAGACCATTGGTTCCCATCCTTTCGTTTTATATGTAAATCTACAAAAATCTGTCTTTATATTTTACCTTCGATCTTACAAGTTTCTTTCACAACTTTTTCTCGAATGTTATCCCTTGCCTCTTTAAAGTATTTTATACTCAAATCGCTTAGCGTTTCTCCCGCTTAATCGCAAACTTACCTTTCGGTGATTTTTCCGATTCAGTCTTTCCCAAATAAAATGGTCCCTGTCTTGTACTGATCTCATGTACTATTATGCCAAAAGAATACACATCGCCTTTCTGTGTACCCTCCGGTGGACCATTGTTTTCCATTTTAAGCAATTCCGGTGCCGTCCAAAATAATTCTGAAATCAAGTTCAAGGGATTTGTTTTACTCTATAGAGGTAAATTTTGAAACTTGTTTTACTTACTACTCCAATACGCATGACTATTACAATCTTCGACGTCATTTTCCACAGCTTCCGGGCGTACCCGCTTTAATGTATGCAAACCAAAATCGGTTATTTTCAAAACAAATCGTGAGTCGACCACACAATTGGACGACTTTAAATTGCCATGCGATCGTATGACTGAGTTGTGTAGAAAATGCATGCCACGCACAATATCATGCATTAGGGATAACTTAATCATCCAGTCCAGCTGGAATTGTTCATTCTCTAGTATATCCTGGAGTGAACCCTTTGGACAGTATTCGGTGAGCAGAAAGCGCTTTGGCGGATCCAAACATGCGCCATAGAACTTCACTAGATGATCATGTTGTAGATCCTTCATACTCTTCAGTTCGAGCATTAGCGAACGTGTTAAATTAATTTGACGATTTTCGATAGCCTTAATGGCTACCTCACAACCACGATACATACCAACTGGTATGAAGATTTGACGATCACCACACAGTGAACGTAAATCTTCGGACATGAGTGTCAATTGTGAACTGTGCCGCACAAGTGAGTGAAAAGAGCCGCGTATGCCGCGCCCAGCCAAATCCGGACAAACCAAGTCACTTATAGAAATCTTCCATGTCATAGAATTTATTTCCGCTTCTGATTTGTAGTGTCGATAACCGAAAAAGAAACCAACAGTCATGAGCACGACGACAACACCAAGTATGATGGAGAGTATTGCATAACCGGGGAGTGCTACATGGAGAAAGCATGGCAAATTAGTGTTGATACGCTTTCAATATACCAAATGAACTTACAATTATCTGGACACAATGAGCCATCGTAACCACAAATTGGTGTGCTAGGTGGCGGCTCCTTACGACCGCCGGCCCAGTGTATCTCTTTGCCGGGCACAAAGTCCAAGCGATTGTGCATAAAATCCGCAACAATTTCAAAATGTCCAGTATGTGGATTCATATCCAGCAAGGAATACGCTGAGATGCGATCACCGTTATTATCGATAGTTACATTGCCGGTAATACCCTTGAAACTGCGACCCCACATACGCCGCACGATGTCTGTGCCATTAATGGGGCGTGTGAGTACTGTGGGATCATCACGTATACTGTCATTAAGTGCTTTCGCATAGAGTAGCACGCCATCAAAGAAGGAGGTGACAAAAGCAGAGACATCTTCATTTTCTTGGAATGTGTAATTGTATTTCTCAGTGGCGATGGATTTGATCTGCAAAGAAAAATAAATAAAAATGAAAAAAAAAACTTATTTCTTGCTTCTCTCCAAGTCGCGGTGTACAACGAATTACCTTATTTGAGACTTTTGTATAATCCTCATCATTTGGCTGTTTCGGCGTTAACGTCAATATGGCTGTATATGCCTTCCGAGCACGCTCATTATTTTCTATTGTATCATTCTTATCATACCAAGGCTTCCAGGTGATGTGCGAGGCACTTTAAATATGAAAGAAAAATAAAGAAAATATTTTATTAAAATATTTAATTAAATATTATTTTATCTTCAAAGTATAATAATTACAAAGAGATGAAAGATTAAACTATATGACATAATGTTCCGATTATTGTGAAAAGCCAAATTTAACGCTCTTACATTTTTTTTGGCAAATTGCATGGAAACTTAATGAACTACTCGTCTGATTTAGCTGGTTCCGAGGAATAATCAATAGATTATACGGCCGCATACTAAGTTCCGATAGCCTAAGAAGTCGAGCGTCAAAATTTTGTAGAAGTATCTTCCCTTTGCGGCCGCAATGGCTAAGCGACAAGCGTTCGAATTCTGGTACGACCCACAGGCAAAATTATAGACTGATAATCTTCCTAATTGCAATCGCCGATGGTCATGCAATGTCAAACCCTCCGTGCATGTTTCTGACTTGAAATAAAAGCTCCACTTAAAAACATATAAAAACATATTGGCCGTTCGGAGGCGGCAGAGAATAAGCTATAACTCGACCGAAAATCGTTACTCCAGTAGTGTTAAATCGCACGATCTTGGGAACCACGCCAGAGACCCACGACGAGAAATAATGCGCTCACATAAGGATTCCTTCACCAAACTGATTGTTTCGTTAGCTGTGTGGTATATGTGGCCATCTTGTTGGAACCAAAAGTCATCCATATCAACATCCATCAATTCAGGCACGAAAAATTCATTGCCCATTGACTCTAACATCATGGTTCCAATATTCCCTCTGCCCACGGATTGCACCAAACAGTGGTACATTCATCCAAAGTAAGCTTCATTGTTGAACAAAATTTTTTTGTGTAAATCGGTATCGGAGACCATCTCGTTTTGGTCTCATTTACCAAACGAAGAAGAAGCAATTGGTGCGCGCGATGACGGATGGACTCTTTCGGGTCTTCTTCGATGCTCCGCTCCAGAGCAGCTTTGGCGTCTTCGGTGCGCACTGTACAAGTTCTCTGAGGATGCGCATTATCCTCTAAAGTAAAAGTGATGCATAACTGATTTAAGGTTGCTATAATTACCGACTTTGCTGGCTGATTAGGTAGAGTGAGCGGTATTAGACTTGCACGATTTGCAAACGTTGTCTCTGAACAACTCTGCTCATTATGGCAAATGGCAAACCAAATTAAGTGTAATTCAAAAAAGACCAAACTCCAAAAAGGGTATTGCCCCATTGAAAGCCACAAGTCTAAAAGGACACTCTTTATTTATTCACTGCTTGTCTTGAAAGTGTATCTTCTTTTGACAGTAGCGAAAACAGCTTCACCAATAGTAAGAAACTGTTAAATGTGATAGCATTGCCATATTGAAATTCAGAAATGCAGTTCAAATACGCGAAATTTCATTGTACTCATATCAGCATTTAGAAGCCTATAATTCACGATTTCATCCAATCCATCTTATGCTGATATATTTGTGGTCTGTTTCCCCTGTTAGTCTAAGACAGAAATGCTTAATAAACGCAGCGATATCATTTCGTTTCACAAGAAAAATTAACGCAACGCAAATGAAGTCGTTTCTGTTCGGTGCCGTGACATCCAAACGAAATGAAATCGTTAATGTTAATTAATTTTCAAATTTCTGCTTGCTAAGATTAACAGCATACGCTACTTTTAACGTTTAACATTAGCTGTTAACGATTTAACATTAACGATAGCTTTTCGTTTCGATTAAAAACGAAAGAAATTTATTTTAATAACTGCGTCATCGTTAATATTTTGAAATGCTTCAATCGAAACAATAGAAATTTTTGATTAACGTGATATTTATCGTTACGATGCAGCCTTGTTCTGAGACCATTTATAAAGATATCTAACGTCTACTTCCATATACTTCTTTATCAACAGCATACCAACATATTTTAGGTCTTCCATTTTGTATATTTTCATTGGCAGGTAAATAAGCTTATTATTAAAATAAAAATATTATAGGTTCCAGGGCATATTTTTGATATTTCAAAATAATTTTCTGGTTCATAAATTTCATTTTAGTGCCAGTTTAGGAAACAGAAGTAATCCAAAAATATGTTCTTTTCAAGCGATAACTTTGCCCAACTTAATTTTTTTAAAGTAATTTTCCCAAGTTATGCATACACACGCCCCTGTTAGTGTCCATAATGCCCTAAATATGTTGGTAGTTGACTACTAAAAGCCATAATATTTTTTTTTTATTGATAGTATATTAACTTGTATATGTATGTGTACATGAGGTATAATTTATTTAACTACATATACTGGTAGAAATAAAGTAATTTGCTAGCAAATGATATACACTAATTGCTACATGACGCAGCAAAAACTGAGTCAATGACTAAGCCAAAATTGATAATAACTAAGTTCCTACTCTCATTCTTGGAACTCGAGAGTGGAGCTTGTTTATGTAAAATTGTAACTTTGACTTCAAAAAGAAAGAAACGATATGCTAATGATTTTAACCCCTCGACCACCTTATGCAGTTACTTAATAGCTTATTAACTTGCTGCGTCACTTTCTTCATATTTGAGTTTCTCGCTAACACGTGTGCAAGTCTTTTTCCCCACAAGATTGGCTGGTTGAAGTGGTTGCTGGGCATTAGATCACCATGGGCCTATTGTGAAACCACTGAGGATCCTAAACACGCTCACCCGCCAATCAAGCCAATGTGAGCAGTTTGGAAAAATAAGCCTCCGTCATAGCTTAGCCACTGCTTTCTTAAAAAGTTGCCGCTCTTAGAGACTTAAATCTATTCCTCAAAAGTGCGGTGCATGCGCAACAGAAGTGCTTTAAGGTTTTAGGTTAATCTTTTCGTCTACAACTTCTGCAGAAGTCGTTGGAAGGTACATCCAATCTCTCTGTGTGCTTGCCCAATAGAACGTGTCCTATAATTGTGAGTAACTCCTTTCTGTTAAACTCCAAAAGTTCACGATTCTTTCTTTTATCCCACTTTGGCCACATTGTTGTGCTCACATTACACGCATTGAGACTGTTCCATCTTGAGTTAGCATCTTTAAAAAAAATTTTCGTATATTGAGTTTACGAATTGAGCGCGGCATGCCCGAAACTCTTGCATGATGCTGAAAGCGCAAGTGTCCAGTATGTCCGCAATCTCATTTCCCGGTGTGTTACTATGTTCAGGCACCAACATATACCAGGTTCTGGCCTATGGCAAGTTTTTACTGTTTGCAATTTTACTGTTACAGATTCCAAGGCTTCTAATGCAGCCTTACTGTCCGGAAAGATATGAATATGATTTTCTGAGAGCACCATTGAACTGAGACAATTAACAGCTTCATGTATAGCCGCAAATTCTGCCTGAAAAACTCTACAATAAATGAAAGAAATTGCAAATACCAAGAACTCTTGAGTAAACTGTTATCTATCCGGTCCCACTGGCTTCTATAGGAGTTAACTACTTTGAAATAAATAAAATGCAGTAATCGTGTTTTTTAACTTTCCATTCGGATACCATTTGCAGCCTTAGCACGGCGCAAGCTGCATCATACAGCCCCAGTTGGAGCGGTACGTAATGCTCTACTAATATACTGGAGCACCGTCCACAGTCTTCTTATAAATTTGGAGTTGACTGATTTTTTCTTGAGTATTGACCACCAGACTACAACACCGTGTAGAAGTACAGCAATAACAGTTTCAATGTTAAGTCAATTCCCCTTTCCTATGCCCTTTTTCCGGCCTATCGCACTTCTGCAAGTGTAGCAGGCGATGTACGCACTACGAATCCTTTTCTTCGAACCCTGCGAGCAGCTTAACTTTCTGGGTAGAATTTTATAGACTCAGTAAAGCTCCGTTCCTGAGTGCACTGGTGCTGAAAATTTTGGTTTTTTATTTCCTATTAAAAAGAACAAGTTGCGTCTACTGTAAATTAATGCCCAATCCAGCGTCATTAGCCCATCGCCTTTTGTATTGTAGCTTTGCGGTCTGTGGGTCTTCCGTGTAAGTGCCATACTCATATATATATATATACATATAATTGGCGCTTCGGAACCGAGCTCCTCCTCCAATTTTTGGTTTTTATTTAAATAAATTTTCTATAACTTTTGTATGCTGGTCATACCCCGGCTTTCCAAAAGGCAATACCCAATGCTAACCACTCGGCAGCCGCGGCCGCCACATAAAAAAATTGTTTTTTAATAGGTGAAAACTTCACTTTATGTGTCCAAAACTAAATTAAATTTTTTGTTATTAGTGCGCGATTACTAATAAAAACAGCTAAGCACTAACAAATGGTTTTGAAAAATAATTACTAAAAGGTAACGGCAGAAAACTTGTTTCATTATATAATATTGTATATCAATAAAAATCAAAAATATTTTTTTCCACATCTGTTTTCAAATTGTATTATGCTGCATAGTAAAATAAACGATGTATTATTCCTTTTAGCGCATTTAGCTTTATGAATGAAAACAAGTATACGCTATGTAGAAAAGGTGAGAATTGAGGTTAGGTCGAACTGCGTCGAGCATTTCGATTGAAATTTATTATATGTTCATATATGAAAAAAAGAAGAACTCTCCTCAACCATTTCGACCATGACCATATCAAATTTAAGTTATTTCATTTTATTATCACATATTAATTTGGAAGACCATCCAAATTGCAGAAAATCATTATTTTTAATTGCGCTCGATCCGCCGTAGGAATATCAAGCCCATCGAGCATATTTCTTACATCAAGTACAAGCTCCCATAAAAATCCTTCGGCGGTTCGGAGGCGGCTTAACGGTTACATAGCGACAATTATCTCATATCAGATTTTTGTTATAAGTTTTAAGTAATCAAAAGACCTGGTTTGTTTGTATGAATTGAATATTTTTGTTATACAACAAAGAAAAATCATAGAAGGTACAGCTATTTCGGAGATCGTCACATCTCCTCAACAGACTTCTTATGGCAGAGTTTGAACCAACCGATCCTGACTTAACAGGTGAGTGTTCTAGCAGTGCGCCAACATAAGGCATTTAATCTGTTGTTGTATTATTCAATACATTATTAACCAATCAGCCGCTATTTTCTTAATAGCTTGGTTGTATGGCGGGTAGAAACCACATCGTATTCTTCAATTGCAGGTGAAAAGAATCAGTTGCCGTATAACCATAACGCTCCGAATTAATAGTGACAGCCCCATCGTTGTCGTTTCCAAAGAAGTAAGGTCTAATCTCAACTGCGAGTCATGGAGCGGATCAAATAGTAAGATTTTCATTTGAGGATTCTCGAAGCCTCAAATGCGACAATTTCGCTTATTTATGTATGCACCGAGTGCGAAATCTGCCTCGTCGCTGAAGAAACTTTTGTACGAAAAACTGCCGTTCACTGCTTGTTGTACATATACCCAATAGAAGTACATATATATACGGCATTGTGAATGGTCAGCTGACTTCAGTTGTTGTACAAGCTGGACTTTATATGGATATAAATGTAAGACAAAGTGCAAAATGATGTGCCAAAAGAATGTTCCAGCTCTTGAGAACGCCAAAAAAAATGCACATTCGGCTACACTTTCGCTTACAGTAGCGATTTTTGTAGTGGAACGAGCTAAACGATGATGCCCAGACCTTACAAGAACTGTAGCCGATGCGTTTCTGCAAATATCTTTAAAATTTTAGCCATTACGTGAGTAGTTGGACGACCATAAATACCTTTTGTAGTGGGTTGATAGACGACAAATCTTGTTAGATTTGACAGTAAAGGTTGTTGACAGTTAAGGATGTCAAAATACAACTGTATACTTTTGAAACTACGAAGTGGATCACCCTACATAAACACTTTAGCATGGCATAAAGACAGTAATTCAATAATCGGTTAAAAATATATTATCAAAAAAAAAAAAAAAAAAAAAAAAAAAAAAAAAAAAAATAAAAAAAAATAAAAGCGAAAAGAGGAGTATCTCAAATGATTGAAACTCCCTGTAACATACTCATTATTGCGATCACTGCGAGTTATTAGCTAATGAATTCTTTATTTGTGTTTATTTGTATGTATGAATGCATGTATTTGTGTTCATTTTTATACTTACCGAGAGAACATTTCAATATTAATAAATACATATTCGCCACTATCGACCATATTCAACTCCTCGGCGGTCAACATAATTCGCCGAATATTCTCCGGTTCCGCACACATAATGACAACTGAAATTAGGAAAGAAAAAAAGCAAAACAAAACAATTATTATATGCACGTGTACATATAAGGGTATGCTTAGATGTTTTTTTACTTTATTCTTAATCTTATATAAGTATTAGAGTTTTTTTTTTGTATTCAGAAATTAGACACAACCCCCGGTGAAGTGAATATAAATTAGTTTGCTAATAAAGATTTTAAATGCGATGAGAAAATAAAAGCATAATAAATATGCGTCAAAGGCTTATCAAAATCATATTTCGAAATCTAGACAGTTATCCAATGACTATTTTATATGCACAGACTGGTGTGAATACATATACATAAATATGTAAGTATATTTTTTTATTATTAAGCGTTTTAAAACTCTTATATACATATTTACAAATATATGTATGTACATATGTATATGTTTGAATCGCAATATCTATCTAATTCAAGCATAAGCGTGTTTGAATATTTTACCATATAAATTTGGCTTAATTTGCATTTCACGCGATAGTGTTTTTTTTTGTTATTCATTTCTTTTAATTTGGCTTTAGCTTAATTTGTTGGATGTTTGGAATGATTTATTGAGGAGAAAAAATAATAAATTCTTTTTATATTTATTCGTAATATTTGTCCTTTTTTATCTTCTTTACACAATCGCCATTCATTTCAATGTATTTCTCATGCCTATAAATCCACTTCTGAAAACAGTCTTCAAAATTTTGCTTTCTAAGCTTATCAAGTTCAGCATTCACCGCATTGCTATTAGAGACCTTTCCTTTTAAATTTTTGTTGATTTTTGGAAACAACCAGAAATCACAAGATTCCATATGCGGGGAATATTGTGCTGGACGTATTTCTTTGATCCCAATAAAATTACTCGTTATTTCAACAAAGTGTTATGATGTAAATATCCTCTTTCCTCTTGTTTTCCAACAAGTTTTTGAAAACTTTTGGTAAACACTCTTCGGTGTACCATTTCGCAGTTACCGTCCAACCCTTTTCCGGGGGGGAAGTTTACTGACATTACTACTTTTGCTGCTGATTTTTGTTGCATAGATTTTGAGCGTGAATTTGCTCCTGTTGGGCTCCACACCATGCACAGCTCTTTGCGTTCTGAATCGTATTTATAGAACCGAGATTCGTCACCAGCAACTCTTTTCTAAAGTTGCTAGACCGTTTTCGGATTTGTTTAGGAAAAATTGAGCAAAATGCAATTGAGCATCTTTTTGGGACTCATTTAAATTCGCAAATTTCTTTGTGTAATTCAGATCATGGTATTCAATCCCAATTCATTAGCAGTCAAATCTTGTATCAATCCTGGGTCTTCGTCACATTTGAACTTCACCAGAGCTATAGTGACGCCATCAGTGGAAGATTTTGGTCGACCTTTTCGGGACTTGTCCTCTACGGAAAAATGTCCGAGTTGAAATATTAAGAACTACTTAGAAACAGTCTTTAAAGACGGTTCATTAGTTCCATATGCATTTTGGCATTCACGGAATATTTTTTATTGGCTGTAGATTACGCCGAAACCCGATGAGAATGACATGGCGAATTTCTGTTTGCGTTGGTGGTAGAATTTCGTCTGACCTATCCTCTGCTATCGTGCATTTTCTCGTCTCCAGTTTAGTTGATCGTTTTAAAATTTGAAAGGAAGACTAATAAACTGACTGTGTATGATCTCTAGTAAGATGTAATCCATTATTTTAGCAGCAGATGGCTTTAGTGATCTGTATGACGTTAGAAATTAGATATTTCGTACTAAAAGAGCTTATTTTAAGCTGGAAATTTAAACTCTACAAGCTGCTCATTATTCTCGTCCATCAGCTATAATCCCCTACACTAATTAAGTAAGTGAGAACTTAGTGGCAAAACTCAGGGCATTCCGAGAATCGGTACATAGTTATTTAGCGTTATCCTTAAGGATAAGAATAAATTACAGTGTCCTACGTTCGACTTTCGAAAGCTCCTAGCAGCGAGGCGAAGGACTCAAGTTTGCAAAACTTTGCGGTCGGTTAAAATATATATATATAGAGGTTGCACTTTCTTGCGCCTCGCTGGAGATAAGATTGTCATGCAGACGATATTCAATTGTGTCGATATTTTTACGAATATTGTTGAATGTACGAGGTGTAACAGTTAAGTAATGAGAGTGATCCCGTTCCATGCTTCGTAACATGTTGCAACACGGCGATCACTTTAGAGGTTTAATACTAGGACACGCTGAGAATGATGTGGCAAGGTATGTTGTCGTGATGAAGTATCCAGTTACGAGTAATGTCTGGTAGCACCCTGTTGACTCGTTTTCGCAATTAATTAAGTACTTGGCGTTGCTAGACTTGATTCACAGTTTGCCACGGTGGAAAAAATTCTTTCCGCACCTCTACTGGTCTCCCACACCGCGCCTCGTCTCTACACGTGGAGAGGAGAAGAAAGGGCTACCACAATCATAATCATGCAGAAACGATTTTTTCGGTGAGAGATAACAAACATATTCTTGACTTCACCAGATTTATGGTGAGAATTCCGGAGAAGTCAAATTTATAATTATCTACATATCAGTGAAGAAGAGATTCCACACGCATACTGAAGTAGTATTTAAATAGTATGTAGCTGATGAAAGGCTGAACACGTTGCTAGCATAAAAAATGTTGGATGATAAACTTGTTTATATAAAAAATTTGGTAAAGCGTGATTCTTTTTTTAGATTTGTGGTTCTCAATGACTTCTCGAAATTTGTCTGATTAATGATTTTCTTTGTGCCCGTATTATTTTTTGTGAGAAGGATCTACACCGATAAGCCCGTTAATGCTAACACACGGTCCGAATTGCTGCAAAAAGTAGTCATAAATTTAATCTCTTGCTTGGAATTTATTCGAGCCAGCCGTGGCGCAAAATCAGTTTTAAGACATAATGACAAATCGATATCTTTATAATAAAGCTAAATTTAATAATTTAATTAATAAACTAAATTTAATTTAAAAGGGGTTTATATCTTCTTGAAGCCCACATGTCTAAAAAGAACACACTTTCTAAATATATGTAAATGAGCTTTGAATAACGCTCCCTGTATTGCTCGATTACAAGGACGATAACGATATATTGTACATATATACATAAATAATATTAATTGGCATTGCATTGCCTACCGTTATTTGCGTATCGGGTAATTTATCAAGCAAAATCAAAATCATTGAAATCTATTTCCAACTTACGAGCCCACTTGACAACATTAAATGGCGGCTAATAGCTTCCCTTGATTGCTTCATGGCAGTTAGTGTAACCAAATGGAGCAGTCACGTAAGGCGAAGGTAGCGCCAGCTAATGTGATATGAACACGGAGACAGATGGCACAGAGATAGGTGAGAAGGGGTCGTTAGTACTTTTTTTTGCAAATTGAATTATTGACGGTTTCACGCCTAATTTTCTTTAATATCTTTATTATTATTTCCCTAACATTGTAGTTTTTAGCATGTGCACATATGTCCATATGTATGATTAAACGAGTGTATATGTGATGTGAGATGGCATTTGGCAAGTACCCTGCTGGGAGAAAATATGCAAGTACTGGTATAGAAAAACTCTAGTTGAATACTAGTATTTTGAAGATGAAATCATATCAATAAAACACAGCCGTGGCGTACTAAAAACAACAACAACATACGAATGACGGGGTTGTGAAAATTTCTGGTCCACCGAAAATTAAAAAAAAATTAAAATAAATAATTAATTCGCCTCTAGTGGTACTCGGACCCGAGCCTAACGCGCTACAGCGATAACCCCTAACCAATCGGCTATTCCGATCATGTAACGATCAACGTCATTTTGGAATTTATTATTTTTCCCGTTACTGGTGGGCTTCTTTACTAATAACGAAGTAACGATTTCATCTTGAAAACACTAGTACTTAACTAGAACTCATGCATACTAGTTGGGTTTTCCCTATAGGGTAGCTTAGAGGTTATCATAGTGGCGCGTTAAGTTACTGATTCGAATCCCGCTGCAGGCGAACTCATTTTATTATTTTAATTTTTTGTTTTGGTAAAGTTGAAATTCAATATGCCGAAATGAACTAGTACACAGCTAGTATAAAGATGATGCATAGTCTGATAATTTCACAGTTTGTAGGTCGTCGCTGTATTAAAAATACCAGTTGCTTGCAGGGGAACAGATTCTAGTTAATAACTAGTATTTTTCCTTGCAGGATATAAGTTTTATATTTTTTGTGGCAACTTGTCGCTTCTAAAATATTTATGAATGTTTATTTTCTGAATGACGGATGTAAAAAGGGGCAAGACCTAGACGGTCTCTAAAGTACAACTATTTAATCAACTAACTTTGAATAGCAGTATAAAATCTCGCAAAAGCGTTAAAATGAACTCAGATTCTAACCTCTTTTTTATTGTTGTTGCCAACATCGAAGTACGGCAGCAGCTGTATGCTCTTCTGAAAGATTGTACCCCCTTTATTCAGCTCTGCAGTACGTATTATTTTCTCAAGAAATATATTAAAGATGCCACATGGTAAGGGTTAACCTTTTTTGAAACCTCGTGTGGTATCGAATGGTTCGGGGAAGTCTTTCCCGAACCTGACGAAGTATTTGGATTTGCTTAACGTTTGTTTCTATTTTGTGTCGATACTAAATTAACAGAAAAAGCCGCTGACGAAGGCTTCTTTAAAATCAACGAAGAGGTGGGGTGCTTCGATTTTTTATGATGGCTATTTTCCAAATTTGGTACCTGGTAAATATACGGACAATGATTGATTTACCAGGTCTAAAGCCACGTTTATAAGGTCCGATCAGTTCGTTGAACGTGGCGTTTAGACTTTCACACAATACACTTGAGAGGATCTTATATGCAACATTTAGAAGGTTTAGCACAAACTTTTGTTCCATTGTCGTGAAATCAATTCGGCATCTCCTGTTGTACCCATTTCACTGCCGTTCAGCAGGCTGTAGAAGTGGGTATCAGCCGCTAGAACATCTTTCTCACTGCTCAGCGACGATTCTGCTGCCT